GTCGCTCGGCACGTCGACGATTGCCGAGCGCGTGGTCCACACACGGATAGACTGAGCCGGCTATGAGTGCGTGCGTGGTGGGGGAAATCAGGAAAGAATCGTGGACATGGGCATTATAGTTCATGTGCACGGTTGTGCAGAGGGCGCCTCATACTGGGCTCGGCTAGAGACACTAGAATACAGAGTCTGGACATTTATGGTGGTACTACGTAATTTTATAAACATAGAAAAGCGTAAGCAAGGAAAAGAAAATAGATAAGAGAGGAAAGTTGATGCTTATAATAATTCGTACTACATAATAGCTTTTCTATGACAGATCGGGAATCTTCGGTTATAGGGCCGTATTCATAGTCCGGTCTTATATTTAAGATCGTCTTAAGTTCATCTTCAGATGTTCTATAGATCATTTCATTGGCTACAGAATATCTGAACGTGAACTCAAGACGGTCTTAAATATAAGATCCGACTATGAATACAGCTCATAGAGAATTGTATTATAGTATCTTTAATGTTTTAACTAAAAACGTTTGGCAACGTATAAAATAGTATAGTGATTTTTATGAAATTACTAAATATTATTTGGCTGTTTTGATATTTTTTTCCATTATGGATTAAATAAATGTGTACTGACAGCTAATATAACCTCATTTAATAATACACATAAGATTTTTTGTCATCTTTATCCCGTAAGTATACATTTTATTTATATATCTTATTATTAATAAGAATATTAATAATTATAATAAACTAATTTATTATTTTATTTCTAATAACCTCTCTCTCTCTCTCAGTTAGTGAATATTAAACAATCTTCAACTATAAAGGATTTATTAGAAAAGAAATTAATATTTGTAAAAAGAGAGAGAAAGGATAGACCAATGGATGCAATAATGAGAATTTTAATGGAAGAAGAAATAAAAGAAGAAGAAAAAGAAAATTTGCGATTAAAACGCATATTTTTAAGAGATTGAAGCAATCCATTTGATTAACATAAATCTCCTGGGGACGTCCAAAGACATCTCATGGCCGTCCTAAGGATATAGGACGTCTCCAGGACATCCCTTGGATGTTTTCTGAACATATTTGCTATCAGGGATGCACGGTGTAGTTAGAGTAAAATATTAAATAAAACCTTTATTTTCATAAATAAATAATGATACTTATAAATAATAACATATACTAATAAGATTTTAATACAATTTTCATATTTTATTTCATTATTGATTAAAATATAAGAAATGGAACAAATACAAGGTGGTTCAAATATGAATTTAATTTAATTAAGTAATTTTATGTGTATGTGTGATAAGATATATATATTCAATATAATATAAAATAATATTTATCCATAATTTCTTTTAAATTCATATGGATTTTCACTCACTTTACCACTCATTAATAACATTAGCCATTCATTAAGAACATAGACACCCTAAAGCTAAGACTCCATGCATGCGGTGAGCTGCGGCAAATGCTGCGATGACCAATCAGGAGGGAGGCGCAAGTCCGGTTGCGGCAAGCTCCGGCATGCGTCTGTCTCTTGATTGGTCACCGCAGCCGTTTGCCGGAGCTCACCGCATGCATGGAGTCTTAGCTTAAAACTAGAGAACATACACTCGCGAGCATAAAGGTTTGTGACCGTTTTTTTGCAACTTTCGGAACGCATCCCGACTCGAGAAGAATGAGAGTTACTGCTCCGCCTGTGGAGCACGCCTGCGCAGTGACTCACGACGAAAGGCGAGAAATGAAATATACGCTATGGGACATATTATAATAATACAGACTCAGATGAAATGAATACTCCAGTATTAAATGGAAATGAGGGAACACAGAACAGACAAGAATCATCCGATGTAAATCTTATACTCCGGAGGACATCCGAAAAAGGTAAAATACGAACTTAATTAAGAGAATTAAGCTGCATTACGATAGTTACGATTCTGTTATACATTTATATATGATTTATTATTCCAGCAACAGCCATCTTCTATAGCAGAAGCAATGATATTAGATACAGAAGCAGCTGTTATAGCGAATTTTGAATTTTTGGGACATACAGACATGGACATGGAAGAGGAAGGAGATGGAGACGATGAAATTTATGATGCAAATACAGATATCAAACCAAATAAAGTAACACTTACTATCATCTTGCGTTTTAATGATATTATTCACGCTATTTATTAACATAATTTCTTATTTTTCAGTCATCTATCCCCCTTCTAGCAGAAGATGTTGATACAGATGCAGAGGCAGAAGTATTAAATGAATTAAATCTCACAGAAATTGAAGAATCGCCACCTGGTTCTATCCATCTGGAAATGAATTCTTCAAAGGGGTTAGTAAATCCCTTTTTATTCGTGTACTTTAAGATAAAATATAAACCTATTACAATAATAGATATTTTGTAATATTGCCACATATAATCACATAATTTAATGATGCCTGTAACTATCATAACTATCGTAATGCAGCTTAATTCTCTTAATTAAGTTTGTATTTTACCTTTTTCGGATGTCCTCCGGAGTATAAGACTTACATCGGATGATTCTTGTCTGTTCTGTGTTCCTTCATTTCCATTTAATACTGGAGCATTCATTTCATCTGGGTCTGTATTATTATAATATGTCCCACCGCGTATATTTCATTTCTCACCTTTCGTCGTGAGTCACTGCGCAGGCGTGCTCCACAGGCGGAGCAGTAAAGGTCATTCTACAATACGTGTCGTAAGTTGTAAGCCGTAAGAATTGGCGAATCACAGTCGATTATTACAAAAATAATCGGCAAAAATTAGTCAGTTCTTACGGCTTACAACTTACGACACGTATTGTAGAATGACCTTAACTCTCATTCTTCTCGAGTTGGGATGCGTTCCGAAAATTGCATAAAAACGTCACAAACCTTTATGCTCGCGAATGTACACACGTCATTATACAAACTGCCTCGTTAAGCTAAGACTCCATGCATGCGGTGAACTGCGGCAAATGCTGCGGTGACCAATCAGGAGGGAGGCGCAAGTCCGGTTGCGGCAAGCTCCGGCATGCGTCTGTCTCCTGATTGGTCACCGCAGCCGTTTGCCGGAGCTCACCGCATGCATGGAGTCTTAGCTTAAAGGTTAGGAAATAGATACAGAAAGAGCTATTTCTATTCCCAGCACTTCGGATGACAACCGAAACAGCCCGATGATGCACGATTCTACTTACATAGTTACTTTCTTTATATAGATAGGAAATTTCTTTCTATTTCTTCATCTATCATTTTACGTAGTTCCATGGCTAAACCTTCGTTGATGGCCGCTCTCAGGTTTCTCTCTGGCTTGGCTAAAAGCGGCCCGTGACCTCTCTCCTTCTTCTCTCTGTACGGATCACAGACTTCTATATAATACACTAGATTGCTAACTGCGTTCCTTTAACTGTTGCCAAAAAGTATGTACGACTTGCGCAGAATACGGACTAAGGGATGCGCAGTAAACAGTTTTATATACTTCTGTAGGCACGCTATTGTTTCAGCATGTTTTTCTGTGAGTTTTATTTAGTGAGACTTATTTATAATTTATATAAAAATTTAATAACAAAATTTTATAATTTCACATACCATATATATATTTTTTGTGATTACGCACACACATGAGTATTTTATTATTTACCGTAATTTTACCAATATTATTTTTCGCGATACTTTTTTTCTTAATTATAACTGATATTAAAAACTTGTATCACATTCGGGCTTATTGCAACGGCAATTATACATACGTGTGTCACTTCGAAAAGTTAGAATCGCGTCCGTATTTTGCGCATCTACTCCGCACATTACATATACATAGGCAACACATAGGCCTGATCTACAATACGTGTCGTAAGTTGTAAGCCGTAAGAATTGGCGAATCACAGTCGATTATTACAAAAATAATCAGCTATAATTGGTCAGTTCTTACGGCTTACAGCTTACAACACCTATTGTAGACCAGGCCTTATACATAAAGCATGGTCTACAATGGCAGTAAGCAGTAAGAAGTAAGCGTAAGCGGTAAGAAATAAACCAATCACAGTCGATTATGACAAAAATAATCAACTGTGGTTGGTCCATTTCTTACTGTTGACGCTTTCTTCTTACTGCTTACGGCCATTGTAGACCACGCTTAAGGCCATCACACATAAAATTCCGTAAGAACGTAAGACGTAAACTTAAAATGTAAGACGTAAAGTCCATGACACACAGTTGGCGTAAAACGTAAAAGTCAGCCAACGGAAAATGCAGAAAGATTCCTTTGCATTTCGTAAAGTTTAACCTGAAATGTCAATGTTAGTACTATTCCACCAAACAGTAAGTATGCTTCCTTTTTATTGAATTTCAAATTTTACAATAATATAAAATGTATTTAGATATATGAATATTAGAATCATTGACACTTTGATAACAAAGTGTTTTATAAAAAAAAAAATGCATCATTTAGATTTTGTTTAAGTAAGGTGTTCTATTAATATTTCTTTCAATGACAATTAGGAAAAAAATTGCCAGTTTTAGTAACAAACTTAAGTTACGTATATCTTGTAAAGGAACATAGTACAGAAGTAATTGTATATACGTATGAAACCATTTTTCAGGTCATTTATTGAAGGAATTTGTTGAACACTTGCAAATGACAGAAGAGGATATATTACTTACAGGAGGATATATTACTTACCATCAAATGCCCATCGTATAATAAGAGAAGCATATAATCAAAGAGACTTGTTAGCAAATTTCTTTGTCACTTCTGAAGATGAACTTCCATGGCAGTATACATATGTCCACAGAGGTTTCAATTGTGATGATACTCCAGACATGTAATTATATATGTTTGTAATAAATTTCCAATGTACGTATAATTACAAGATATTGTTTGAATGTTTCATTTATTGCAAAATATACAATATCAATAATCTATATATTTTATATATTATATAAAGAAAGATTATATAATATTATATAAAGAAAGATACAGAAGAATATATATGGAATAACTCTTTCCCTGAGCACGTCTACATATAATTACAGTTAAATATCTTGAATATAAAAACGTAAGCATAAAATATTATAAAGAACAAGAAAATAACATAGCATCCTATCTAAAAATAAACATTAGGAACATTAGGAACACAAATACGAAATTAATAATATGCTATCTAAAATTTAAAATATAAAAATGGTTCGTAACTTTGCTGTCATTTTCGTCTTCAAGAATTATATAAGGTTCGTACAAAATTTGCATAATTGCTTGCTGGCGTTCATGTTTTTCATATGATGGTAACTTTTCTAATTGATTCGCAATTAACCTTGCAAAAGTTTCTTCCGAGGAACCAGTAATTTCGGAATTACGATTATTCTGGAGACGTTGGTGCATAGTTTGATAAAGTAAAACTAGAGAACTCTCCAATGCGCCCGAGTTATCTTTTTTCTTATATGGTGGTTGTCGCGACACTGGCGTAGCTTGCAAACTTTTGAATGCTGGAGAAGGTGTTGATTCTCTTGTTGAAAACAATGTAGATTCTTCAGATTCATCAAGAATACTAGGTATATTTGGACAACATTTGGGTGAAGTACTTGAACTTGAGTGATCATTTTCGAGTGAATTCATTGATGATGCAGCAGAGCCAGTGTCTGGTAAGGAAATGTTTTTAAATCGTGTTGAGAAGTTTGTACACGGTTGCACAGAAGGTTGCATCGGTACTTCATCTCCTGCATTAGAGAGTTGTGAGGCGATCTTGAAGATTGAGGACTCCGTATTTTCCATAGTTGCATTGTCCATTGGAAGATTGATTTGATTGTCTTTTTTATTTGTTAACAGAGAACTCGTTGGTGAGATGTGTGTCAGGCTTATTAGCTGAGACATCCATTGTCTTTATACGCTTCACACTTGAAACATTCGTATAAGACCTGAGAAAGTCATATAACATTACACATTGATATATGCGTCAACATTTAGTTATGTTCTTGACTCATAAGCTTATTTCCTTCTTTTGATATGGTCATTTAGAAATGACATATTTTCGTAATATATAAAGCCATTTCGTTGACTAACTCCACTGCCACTCTTTGAATCCAACTCCCTTTACCGTTTTTCTTTACCGAATCTTTCACGGAGTCTTATCCAACGTTTTGACAATCCGAAACTATAAAAACATTGATTTTCTTATTAATAAATAAATAAATAGAAGAGGTAGAAATATAAAGACCCCCCTCAGAGCATATAATAATTACCATTGCATACTCTATTATTGTATATATTATATAATAGAGATGTACGAACTATTCGAACTCGAATCGAATCGAATCTAATGTAATTCGATTCGATTCGAATCCGAATCCCTATGATATCGAATCGAATCGAATCCGAATAATTCGAAAATCTCGAATCGCGAAGATTCGAATACGAATCAAATATATTAGCGTTTGTGCGTATCAGTTATAAAACGGACCATCTGGGCCTGTATATATTAGAACCCTTAACTTATGTTTAATTAATTATTAATTAATAATGTTTAATTACCGTAATTAACCTAACTATTAATTAATAACTTAATTATAAATTACTATAAATATTTAAATATATATTTTATTTTAAGATAATATTACAATATTAATATTCCCTTTCAAATTAAAATCTTCCATCATTATTTGCACGTTTGATATTCATGTTAAATTTTTTAATGATTCGATTCGATTTGATTCGAATTCGAATGAAATTTCATAGATTCGAATTCGAATTCGAATTTAAAAAATGAGATTCGATTCGATTCGACATAAAAATTCTTGATTCGCACATCTCTATTATATAATTATCATTTAATAATAGGGAATTTTTGCAATATCGTCTTCCAGATACGGTAACGCTAAAGTACGTTCCGATATTCACTGCCAGTACTTCAAATCTATAGGATACGTAACACAAACTATATATTCGCAGTATTGGCAATGAATATCGAAATGTACTTTAGCGTTACCGTATCTGAAAGACAGTATTGCAAAAACTCTTTAATAATAGGTGATTTTTGACGATCATTTGGTGCATGTACCAGGTTGTCACTGGCCTAGTTTACATTAAGCATTTAATATATGTACTAATATTCTTAAAGCACAAGTGTTCAAAATATATTCCAGAGATATCCAAATATCTTTGAGACGTTTCTATAATATATTAAACATTTATGCCGTATAGATATTTAGTACATATGTTAAATATTTAGTATGAACTAGCCCAATGACAACCTGGTACATGTACCAAACGACCGCCAAAAATTGCCTATTGTATTCATTTACCTGAACTGTTTACTGCTAAGGCTATTTCTTTCCACGAATTTTCTTTCATCAAATGGTCTTTAAAATTACGATTTTGGTGATTATAAAGATGTGAGTATGCTCTTACCGCATCAATAAATAGTTCATCATTTTCTTTACCATCCTTATTTTCAAGGGATTCATCATTTTCTGAGTTATTAAACATATTACAATATTTATTGTGATCACTCATTTCACCTCACTTATCTCACTGCGACAAATGCTACTTAAATACATGTAACCTTACTAGCTTCGCTTCAAATGTCAAACTAAAGTGTATAGTCTGATCAGTTGTGATTGGTTGTCCACAAGTAGCCATAAAAATTTCACCCTTACTGAATTTTTCGACGTTACGTTTTACGTTTTACGGACAAAGTGGAAGGGTTACGGAGAGCTGAATATTAAGCCAGCGGTACACGGTGCTTGTTTTCGTGCTGGATTGCTTGCTGGATGAAAATAGTGCGTTCTGATTGGTGCATTTCCATCCATCTTCGAAAATGTACCAATCAGAACGCAGTATTTTCATCCAGCAAGCAACCCAGCACGAAAACAAGACCGTGTGCCGCTGACTTTACATTGGGATTGGTCGATTTCTTTACGCTTACGTCTTACGTTCTTACGGAATTTTATGTGTGATGGCCTTTAAAGAGAACAATGGCTACGTTCAGTAGAACAAAATGATCAGTGAGCGCTTAGTGATTATTGTCTGTGATTGGAGCATTCTTTTAGATTCTTCATAGACCCAAAAATATTTACCAATCAGGAGCGAGAATCACTAAGGCCCAGTTCCATAGCTTGCTTTAAACGGAGTTTAAAGCAAGTTGTGGAACTGGGCCTAAGCGCTCACTGATCACTTTGGCTGCATTCAGCAGATTCAACAGTTGGACAGCATTACTAGATTTTCTACTGAATCTCGCTCCTGATTGGTAAATACTTCTGGATCTATGAAGAATCTAAAAGAATGCTCCAATCACAGACAATAATCACTAAGCGCTCTCTGATCATTTTGTTCTACTGAACGCGGCCTTTGTTCTGCTGGACGCAGCAGAAGGAGTTATTAGGAGTTAGCAGTCTAGTATATTAAGCCAGCGGCATACGGTGCTTGTTTTCGTGCTGGATTGCTTGCTGGATGAAAATACTGCGTTCTGATTGGTGCATTTTCATCCATCTTCGAAAATATACCAATCACAACGCAGTATTTTCATCCAGCAAGCAATCCAGCACGAAAACAAGCACCGTGTGCCGCTGGCTTTAATATAGAAGTCTGTGGTACGAATAGACCGAGCCGGCTATATGTGCGTGAGTGGTGGGGGAAATCAGTAAAGAACCGTAGACATTGACGTCGTTAGTTCATGTGCACGGTTGTACAGACAGCGCTTCGCATTTGGCACGGCTAAAAGTGGCCCATGACACCTCTCTTTCTTCTCTCTGGAAAAATATAGTAACTTTTAGATGAGTTTGTTTTGGGGAATTATATTTAGGTAAGAAAAATTTGAGTTGGTAACGTTACATTACATCCGCACGTTCCGCACGTTCTCTGCTCTGCGTGGATTTCGTTGGTAAGTAATAAATGATCTCGTTGTTGCGGAATATCCACATTTGTTTATTCATATCAAATAAATCCATCTAAAAAAACTCATAATTATGTTTCCTCTACATTTTGTGCTTAAAATACATTCAATATTTTTATAATTTGAGAGAAATTTAATATTGTGAGTTACTTCGAGGTTAATATAACGTGTATTGCACGATATATTGTATACAGAGAGCAGCATTTAAACTAATATTTGATATCTTATTTTTTGTAGGTTTCAATTACCATGGGCCGAGTAATTCGTGCTCAGCGTAAAGGTGCGGGATCTGTTTTCCGATCCCACACTAAGAGGAGGAAAGGAGCACCAAAATTGCGCTCCTTAGACTTTTCTGAGAGACATGGATATATTAAGGGTGTTGTTAAGGTTCGTTGTCAAGATATCTTTCTTTTTCTAATTCTGTTCTGTTACATTAGTGTTATTGTAACTTAATTCTATTATAAATTCAACTTTGTATATATGATGAATCCATCCACATCTTATTATAAATGAAGATTTCTTACTGGAGGCTCTTTCTGAGGACACTTGTTAGTTTCTTAAAACATGCTTTCCTAACTAATTAGATGAGATTGAAAAGATTTCTTTTTTATTAGGACATCATTCATGATCCTGGTCGTGGAGCACCATTAGCAGTAGTCCATTTCCGTGATCCTTATAAATTTAAAACACGCAAAGAATTATTTATTGCTCCAGAGGGCATGTATACAGGACAATTTTTATACTGTGGAAAAAAAGGTATTTTCAGTGGCAATCTTTTAATAGTACTATTATTATAGTATAGTATACTACTATTATAAATATTGATATAATGATATAAAACACATTTAGCGAATTTAATCTACCATGTATATTTGTGTTCCTTTATTTGCAATTGTTTTTCCAGCCAATCTTCAGATTGGAAATGTAATGCCAGTTGGTACTATGCCAGAAGGTACAATTGTTTGTAATTTGGAAGAAAAAACTGGTGACAGAGGCCGTTTAGCTCGGGCTTCAGGCAATTATGCTACAGTAATTGCTCATAATCCAGACACAAAGAAAACCAGAGTTAAGTTGCCTTCTGGTGCAAAAAAAGTAATTCCATCTAATAATAGAGCTATGGTTGGAATTGTTGCTGGTGGTGGAAGAATAGACAAACCTATCCTCAAAGCTGGCCGAGCATACCATAAATATAAGGCAAAGAGGAACTGTTGGCCTAAGGTATGTTTTCTTATTTTCCTTCCATTGTATTTTTTGTAACAAGATAAAATTTTACAATGATGCTGATTAAGACATTTGAAACCTGAAATATTTTTTTGCAGAAGCTTAATTGACTGAGTAACATTAGTTTTTATTATAATATTGAATTTGAAGTTTGAGCACAGTGTCTGAAACATTTTAATTTTTTTCCAGGTTCGTGGTGTTGCGATGAACCCGGTGGAGCATCCACACGGTGGTGGTAACCATCAACATATCGGTAAAGCTTCCACTGTGAAGAGAGGAACTAGTGCTGGTCGCAAGATTGGTTTAATTGCTGCTCGTCGTACCGGAAGAATTAGAGGAGGCAAAACCGACACAAAGAAAGACGATTAAACTGATATTTCATGTACATAATAAAAAGATGCAAAAACATTATTTTGAGAATATCTACCGCACACAATTATGTGTATATGTTCTTGTATGTTCATATAATTTTTGCAGTGTTTGAGGATTTCTGACTAGGTACATGTTATTGGAAATATGAATGTTGAGTTTATCAGGACTAAAAATCTATTTACTTTTCAGGTAATTTCTTGTTTGTCAAATAATTTTGGGATCAATGAGATCGTCAAAGATTCATCGAACTTTTACAAGCACTCTACACTTTTTAATAGATAAACATTATCTCGCATTTAGAAATTTGCAGGCGTGTAATTTTAATGATACTGAAGGCCTAAACGGATATCAAAATTAAAATCTGTGACTCGCGAGAAAAAAATTTGTCATAGGACTCGAGCGGTAATCCAATCGTAGTTAAGAATAGGCCTGTTCGTTTTGTCTAAACTGGTGCATTAAGTTAAAGTGAGACAAACGTAGGTTTTCTCACTTTAACTTGTTGCACCAGTTCAGCGGCGCGATTCTTTAACTCATTATTGGAGTTAACGACACTTTCGTTATCGTTGCGCAGCTTTTCTACGGTGTACAAAAGCTGCGCAACGATAACGAAAGTGTCGTTAACTCCAATAACGAGTTAGAGAATCCCATCACAGCAGTGCAGACAAAACGAACAAGCCTAATGCAAGGTAGCTATCATAAAGTTCATTGGAATGTGACTGGTTAATTTTCTCATTACTCGCGTCTCTACGAGTACGTTCGGGGAGCGCGCTACCAACGCTACTGCATTGTTCCATCTTTATCGCTCTTTAAAAATATAATGACAGATTGACGCGGTAGTGCTAAATAGTGCTAATCCTGAACTCCCCGAACGCACCCTACATGCGCTGTGGGCTTAAGGAATATTACGATGTAGAAGGTGCAAGTGAGACAGACGATCCTATCGGTCGCTCTCTCGCTCATGTACATACGACACGATGGATAACGTTATATTATAAATTTTTGAACATGTAATGTCAATTAATTGCGATACTGAGATCTATCTTCCCTTCTCGGTGTCGCATGCTCTTTCTATCATCATTTTGATATCCGGCGGAAACGATCGGTCGCCATGTCGCTAGTGATAGCTCGTTTCTCGGCCATTTTTGTTGCGTCAACGTCAAAGTGCGGGCAGGGGCCTCCTCTGTGCTCTCCTATCAGAGCCAGTCTCCGATATTCCTTTGTATCGCGTGCAGCGAAAGACTGATAGTCACCGTCGACGTATCATTCCGCGAATAACCGATAAGAGTTTCATTACGGTATAACAGGTACAACGTCACAGCAAACGTATTTACTGACCACTCCGTGAGACTACAAAGAGAAAGAGAAGGAAGAAAGGGGTGAGAGAGAGAGAGAGAGAGAGAAAAGAGAAAGAGAGAGAGAGAGAGAGCGCGTGGCCGTGTTGGGAACTTTTTCGCGTGACTCGACTTGAGATCGGCGTTGTGTGAGGACGAGCTAAAAGAGCTTCAGCGAACGAGCTACGAAAACTACGCACCGAGGCGGAGTAATATGAGTAATGCAGCCAACCAGAATGGATCAGGTCTAGAGCAGCAGGTAAGATAACATGATAATTGTAGCAGGGAAATATAAGAGAGAAAAGAGAAAGAAAGAGAGAGAGAGAAAGAGAAAGAAGGTGACTCGTTATTTCAGCTTCGTTCATGAGCGTGAACGCCAGTTCTTTCGACTCCTTTCTCCCTTCCCTTCCTCTCTCGCCCCCTTCCCTCCTTGCTGATTCGTTTTTTCCATTCGCGTCTCCGCGCACGAGCTACTCCGCTTTTCCTCGTCGCTGAATTTTGTCGTCGCTGAGATTCGCCTTGTTGCGCGTTTTCCTTCCTGTCCGAACGTTTAAGCACGAGGGAATTTTCTTTATTCGCGTCCGATCGAAGACTCTTCCTCCCCTCGGCCCCTCTTCGAGTATCACGGGTCGTCACTCGGCCAGCTCGTGACGTACGCTATGTAATGGCGGCAAGCGATTCCGGGAACGGCGTGCCTCGTATCATGACGCATTCTTGCATAGTATTTTTTCTTCAGCGCATTCTGAATTCCCGCAACGGCATTGCTTGCGAGTTACGCGCGTACGGTGGGGATTTCTCACGGTCAGTCCGAGAAACGGGACACCGTTACTTGGACGATAATAGCCTCGTCGTCGTGCGAATTTGTGCGATCGTAATGTGTAATACGGAGGTTTAACTTGAGCCTTTTTGCCTTTCTCAGTTAGCTGGTCTGGACTTGCAGGGCTCCCGCCAACCAAGTGGGGGTCGCTACGTGCCACCGCACCTGCGTCATAAAGCTGGAAGTTAGTATAAAAATGTTTTAAAATTCTTTAAAATATATGCTGTCAAATTGTACATAAGTTAGCTTAAACAAACTCGCTACTATCGACATACATAGATACTCTTAGCAAAATCATTAGACTTTAATGCATTGACAAAGCACCTAGAGGTGCTTTGTCAATGCCTTATATTTGTAACACTTCTTGATATGTACACATAGCTATCGCATATACTCTGCATTGTGCTTCAAAGTTCTTTGCGCAGTGGAGAAATTAGTGACAAGTTTGGTTTTTATTTTTATCATAAAGCTATTGTTCATTATCATTTGTTATGTCTATGGCAAAGTATCAAGCACTATGAAATATTGATCGAGAGCCAGGACTGATGATGATAGTGCATAGGCCAGTAGACTCTCGATCTTAGAATCACAATGATAAGAATGCCAAGATGTGCGTCTCCATCATTGCGATGCATATGAGAGTCGGACAGATACTTAGAGCTTGTTTCTTTTGTCAGGTAACGCACTTTCGGATTTACAATACTCTTCCAACTCGAGGCCGTTTGGCGACAGAGATAGAGGCGAAGATCGCGATCGTGATCGTGAAAGGGACAGGGATAGGGATAGGGGCAGAGGTGGTTACAGGGACACGCGTAGTCCCCGCGACATCGATTTCGCGAACTTCGGGAGCTTCGGTGGACGCAATCGACGCAGCCAGGAAAATGGAAGAGACTACAGGTATTCCAACTCAGAACGCGATCGGCCGATTAGCACCGGCAATGATCGTTGGCAAGAACCGAGAAACGATCGTTGGCAAGAGAACAGAAATGACAGAATGGGAAGCAGCGGTGGCGGCAGCCGATGGGGCGACGATAGAGGCGGCAGAGGCGGAAGAGGCGAAGTCGACTGGACGATCCCTACTTCTAGAGATGAACGATTGGAGGTGGAGCTGTTTGGCTCTGGAAATACTGGGATCAATTTTAGCAAATACGAGGATATCCCAGTTGAGGCTACTGGAGAGAACATACCTCTACACATCACATCTGTGAGTACAGACGCACGACGAGTTGACATCACACTCGATATTGGCATGGTTTCTTCTCCGTAGACTCCAATCCGACCGTTTTCTTTTTGCTTTTCAGTTTGACGAGGTTAAGCTGACGGAGATAATAAAGAACAGCATCGCCTTGGCAGGATATGACAAGCCTACGCCAGTGCAAAAATATGCGATTCCGATCATCATCGGACGCCGTGACGTAATGGCCTGCGCCCAAACAGGGTCCGGTAAAACAGCGGCCTTTCTAGTGCCAATATTGAACCAGATTTACGAGAGTGGACCGCGTCCACCGCCACCGCAAGCGAGCACCGGCAGACGCAAGCAGTATCCGTTGGGCTTAGTGTTGGCTCCTACACGAGAGCTCGCCACACAAATCTACGACGAAGCACGAAAGTTTGCGTATAGATCGCGTATGCGTCCTGCGGTCGTCTATGGCGGCTCCAATATAGTAGACCAAATGCGCGAATTAGATCGCGGTTGCCACTTGCTCGTTGCAACGCCTGGACGTCTAGTAGACATGCTGGGACGCGGCAAAATCGGCTTGCACAATTGCCGGTATGTGTTTACGTGTATCTGACGCCGCATAGGCCTCTGACAGTCGACCTAAGAATAAGATTTTACATATACATCCATTTGTTCTTGATACTTCAGATATTTAGTTCTCGATGAAGCGGACCGTATGTTGGATATGGGGTTCGAGCCGCAAATACGACGCATTGTTCAGCAAGACAACATGCCGCCAACAGGAGAGAGACAGACTCTCATGTTCTCCGCTACTTTCCCGAAGGAGATTCAGATATTGGCTAGAGATTTTCTTAGTAACTACATTTTCTTGGCGGTCGGTCGCGTGGGCTCGACCTCTGAGAATATTACGCAGAAGATTGTGTGGGTAGAAGAGCACGATAAACGTTCTTATTTACTCGATCTGTTGCAAGCCAGCAACTTTGCCGATTCTTGTAAGTTGTAGCGCTCTCGCGATTTGCTATACCGGTCACACCGCAAATATGTTAATTGTTTAGTTAAATGTTTAGTTATGTCAAATGTATCGGTATTTTCATCGTGCAGCTGCTGAGTCGCTCACTCTAGTGTTCGTGGAGACGAAGAAAGGAGCCGACATGCTCGAGGAATATCTGGCTCAAATGGGATACCCGGTAACTAGCATTCACGGCGACAGAACTCAGCGCGAACGAGAAGAAGCTCTGCGCCGCTTCCGCGCTGGTAAAGCGCCGATTCTTGTAGCAACCGCTGTGGCTGCGCGTGGTCTTGATATACCGCACGTTAAACACGTCATTAACTTCGATTTACCCGGTGATGTCGAAGAATACGTTCATCGTATCGGTCGTACTGGTCGTATGGGCAACTTAGGTTTGTTTCTCCGCTCGACCCTCGTCAGTACTCACTCGAAAGGCTGCTAAATTATACATTATGTATTTCTTTCATTTCTCAATAGGACTGGCAACGTCGTTCTTCAATCACAAGAATCATAATCTAATACGTGATTTAGTGTGCCTACTCATCGAAGCTAATCAAGAACTTCCAACCTGGTTGGACGACATGTATACCGAAACAAGATACTCCGGTGTTGGGTCTCGACGTACCGGCGGTGGCGGTGGCGGTGGCGGCGGCGGCGGCGGCGGCGGCGGCGGCGGCGGTACTAAACGTTTTAGCGGCGGTGGTTTCGGTGCAAGAGATTATCGTCAACAACCCAGTTCTGGTTCCGCTCGTAATAATAGCTCTTCCAGACCAGGCGGTTACGGAGGTGAGTCCGTTATGAAAATTTTCGTTTTAACGAAGTACTTGTAAAAAAAAAACGGTTGATGAAAATAGTAATTGTATTCAAAGTGTTACACTTATTACATATTTACATGTTACAATTAATAATCACATACAAAGTGTTACGTTCGCGACCGTCGTGATGATTCAAGTACTTCATTTGAAAAACCAAAGGTGTAACTTTCCTTCTTGTTCCAGGTGGCTATTCAAGTTACGGAGGCAATTATAATAATTCATCGTACAATAATTCCACTAACAATGGCAACAGTAATGGCCCTGACTGGTGGGGAGGATGGGATAAGTAGGCGATTATTTCCAGCTATATTTCTATCATCATTATTATTATTACTCTCTACTTGAAAATTAAATTATATGTAAGAGAAACATGTCATTATACATCAAAACACTACACACGTGTTTTGCGCGCGTATACATGTATAGTCGGCATCAGAAGTGTTGAGCACTTTTCGTTTGGTATCGACTAGTTATATGGTTTGATTTTTTTGTAAAGTGGGGCTAATAACTATAGTTAGCCAAATAGAAAACCCAATGTGTTAGGTTAGTAGAATGATTCAGCACAACATTCATATACTAAATCATTCGCCTAAACGGAGATATCGTTGACACTTTGGTAATTATTATTATTATTATTTTCAAATTACGTCAAGATAATTCCATGCGAGTAAATTACGGAATGTAAAGAACGATATATAATGATAAATTGGGTGGATAACGAGACAGTATGTAAGAGTGTCCTGAAAAGAGTCGATATCTATGGGAGAAAAAAAAACGATAAAAAGTACCCTGACTATTTCTTGACGCCGGCTATATATTGTAGAGTACAGAAACAATTTCACCTATAACACACCCACGTTCGCTGACTACCCATGCACTACGGTTTTTCAATGGGAAGCAGAAAGGAAAAAACCCACTTTGTTTAAATTCCATTTGTATTACATTTGTTCACGTGCGACATTGACAAATCCTGTGTGCAATTGAGTATTCACACCGGCGGTGGACCGCTGGGGGGGAATATTTCGAACGTAAATGATCTCACTATGAAACATGCGAGTATCGTGAATGGGATTTGTTCAAACAACACTATTACTATTACTACTATTACTACTACTATTACTACTATAGTTAGAAATCCATCCAACATTTCGTTGCCGTACGTGCTGACGAACACAAGTAGTATAATCACTAACGAATCAAAGTCGGTAAAGAAAAGAAAAAGAAAAAAAAGAAATCGATAAAGCGTTAATGCCCATCCGAACGGGAAGAACGATGTAACACATAGTAGTGGAGAAATCTAGTAAAATTTTTTAGAACTCCTGTCGAGACTATGGCGCTCAGCTGAAGTAGCTTTAGTCTTTATATTACTATTATTATTATTATATTATTTTTCGTAGAGGCTGCGGTGAGCGTATCTTCGGTAATTACGGCGTCTAACGGTCATAAACATTTCAATGCACAAACAGTTTATTGCCCTTGCTGTTACAATGGCCAGTAAAAAGTTTTGCGTAGTTCCGTTCGAATGGATGGCACAGTTTCTTTGGGTTGTATACGTATACGTGTACGTTCATTTCAAATGCCTAGGATACGCCGAACCACCGTTGCCATAGTTCACATGACGATAAACTTTATTTTTTTTGCTCTTAATTTGCTAGTATAGTTTAGCGACGAATGGTACTTTGTTGTTTTGCCGTCCCCAGAAACAGACGACGTTGCGCCGGCAAATGTTACGGTTTACTGAAATAAGCCAATAAGTAAAATTTTCAGGGAGCGTAAGTTTCGGTGTTGAGAGAAAGAAAAAAGGAGAAAGAGAGGGGGGCAGAGAGAAAGAGAGCAAGAAATAGAGGAAAAAAAGGAGAAAATGGCAATACAGGCTACGTCTTAGCATACTTTTAGGAATCTTGAAACATTTTTGTTATTAGCTTATAATGTATACACAAATACACACACACACACATACACACTCTGCCATTTCTAATTTAGAAAATTTCAAGACGATGTTGCGCAAATTACAGTCAGCAGCGGAGTTGTTTCCATAACTTCGGCCAAGTACAGTAGAACCTCAATATTCGTCACATAGTCATACTTCTAATTTTCTAATTAATGTTATGGCTTAAACATATATATATATATATATATATATATATGCGTATATATGTGTATATATATACAGGGTGTAAACGAATAAGTAATCTAACTTTTTACCACGCGATTTAGCATTATCGAGGGCACTGTAGTTAATGAAGTCGCGTACAGATGTTACATGCATCATGTCGTTATCGGCAAATTGATAGTTGACTTCTTCTTGGCTGCTTAAGCTAAGATCAAGTACGAAAAGGTTCAGATATTTAACGTGGTAACGCATTACTTTTTATACTGCATTACCTCGTTAAATATCTACACCTTTTTGTATTTGATCTTAGCTTAAGCAGCCAAGAAGTCAACTATCCGAATTTGCCGATAACGACATGATGCATGCAACATCTATACGCGACTCCATTAATTATAGCGCTGTCGATAATGCTAAATTGTGTGGTAAAAAGTTGGATCAGTTACTCGTTTACACCCTGTATATGTATGTATGTATGTATATGTATGTATATGTATATATACATATATGTATATATATTTGAAGTGTTTAAAGAGTTTGTTTTGTATAAAATTATATGTAAATTTTGCTTGTTTTCTCCCATCTGAGTTGTAAACATTTAGAATAAATTTGAAGTGCTATGTGTTCAAGAGAGACCCGATATTTAGATTCTAAATATTGGTTCATAATATAGATTAAATCTCACAGTGAGATTTTGAATCTCTGTACAAAAATATACAAGGATTCTATCGTATAAATTTTGAGAAAGAGAATATCGAGGTTTCGCTGTACGAATGAAAGAAAAAAGGCTGGAATATGCTAGCAGGTATATATGAATATTTTATGTACCTGAATTTTCGAGTAGTTCTATAACGGAACATTAATATCACACATAGCATCATGCTTCGAATAGTGTTTCTAAACATAACAAAGACGTTGCCCTGCAAAATCGGTACGACACTTTATAACAAAAAGAAAAAAATAAAAGGGCAGAGAAATGCCTGTCCTAGTCTACAGTACTGAATGTGCGAATGCAAGTGCTCATGGAAGACAAATTATACCGAGATGGGTTAAAAATACGGTTGCAGTTACAGAGGGGTTATCAAAGCAAAGAGTAAAGAAAGAGATAGGGGAGATGGGGACAAAGAGAGACGGATGCTTTTGCATGATAACAGGCTCAAGTTCATACTTGGAAAAAAAAAAGAAGAAAAGAAAATGGAAGAGTTAACGAAAGCAGCAGAAGCCCCTTGGACAAAGAGACGACGGGGCGCACTCATATTATTTTATAGCTGTATTTATCAGTATAATACGCTATATATAAATACATAAACACTAAAATAATTGTGAAAAACGACTGTGATATCGAACGATCTTGTGACATTCAATTTCCATGCGAATTGATAAATGAACAATTAATGGAGTAACAAATGATTAAATGTATTAATTAATCGGTATTGAATGTCGGGAAGGTACTAGAGCTCAGTTGTTTGAGCCGAGAACGGAATATTAAGTCGTTAAACAGTAAACACATCAAGACAACGTGGCTGTTGTCCGATCGGGGAGGGCTGAACGCTAGCTCTTGCGGTCCTGCGGGACTTTTCTAGGGCATTGTTTCCGCTTAAAATAAACGCGCATTAATGGTATAGGTGTGAGGAGGGGCGAAAGAGCGTGACGCGAGCTCGCGAGTCATTACTGGTTGATGACAAAAAAGCAGAAGAGAGAAAAAAAGAAGATGATTACGATGGCGTTGGTAGGGCTTTATAGGATGTCGATATCGTTTCGTGCAAACGTCGGATTCTTATCTGTAATCTACGCGAAGGGAAAAAGTACAAATTCGATTTGCGTCACAACTAACAGGATTTTTAGACATGTCATACTTATACCTGTTATATTACCTAGATTTATATAGTGCAATCGCGTGCGTGAATCGTATGCCGTGTGACCGTGGACCAAGGTGTGTGAATGCCTCTTCTATGAGAGGGACGACAATTATTTCATCTAGAACATTCAAGGAATAGTGTGTTAACGAATATCGTTGGCTTCCGACCGTGGTGCGAGTGTTTGCAAATTTTCATACGATTCGTCATCGAGGCTATCTGTCAGCTCTCGGAGGCCCTGCCAAGAACATTACGGAGAGAATCTTTCGTGTGGACAGTGATACACCGACTCGATGTATGTGCCGTGCCGTGCCGTGCCGTGCCGTGTCACCTTGTCGTGTTATCGTGTCGTGTCGTGTCGTCAAATAAGAACCTACTGCAACAGTCGGTTGGGCAACTGCCGGTCTGCCAGCGTGCATAGGTTCCGCCGTATTGATGTGTACGCACGTGTATCATTTTGCCAGAGAATTTACATCGGTTCAGAGAGAGAGACTGGTATCACATACGCAAGCTTTTGCATGACGTCTTTTCTATTTTTACTCTACTGTTTTATTTTACACTGTGACAGAAAAGGAGGGAAAGAGGGCACCGTGGTGGTTTGTTGGACTCGGGATGATTTTCATATTTTGATTAGATTCGATCGCCACTATGCAAACGATGTGACCGATGTGACGAGCTCGGATTCCCCAAGGATTATTTTTAATTATTCGCAATTCGGAGTAGAGGCGCCAAAAGGGTCAGAGCTCTCAACGCGCGTTCAGTTTCGGGGCAGTTTCTTCTTCACGATCCAAGTCCAACCGCACCACCGACGTGCGTAGGTGTTCGTGACGCGTCGCGCGCGTTACACGTTTTAATCCAGTCCTGTGCATTTCGGAACGATACTTTTTGTTTACATCTGACATGGTGGACAGAGAGTACTTGATGCAGCGTGATTATTAATGTTATTTTCGTATTATCCAGTGTTCCTCGTTTCTTTATTTTTTTTTTTTTTGCCCTTTTTTATCTACTCAAAGTGGAATATGATGATGCGTCGGCGATCGCCGATTGCTAGAACGGTAGAATTTTCGCTTCACAATCGCATTATAAATATCTCAACATAATGTCATTCGCGCACTTGAGAGAATCATCCAACGTGTTCCTGCTGAGATAGTCAGATGTCCACCGTGTGGTAATCGACGTGTGTATAAATTAAAAATACGATGCTATGATTTGTAGTGTGTTAGCGTATCTAGGGAAAGTAGCGAACGATATAATAAATCATTACTATTTATTGATCGATTTAGTATTTATTTTCTACGTCACTATGCGTTTCGAAAGAGGTAGCATAAACATATTCTGTATCGTACGTGTACTTTTCGTCTCATGTTTGGTCCTCTGAAGTATATCGGACGAGCAGCCTTGAGGAAACACTTTTACGGACACATATGCAAGAACGAAAAGATCGGACAAAAGATTAATTTAAAAGAATACAGCGCAAGACGAGAGGGAATGAAAACGAAAAAGAAAAAAAAAGCGAGAGGAGAGATACGATCACGAGTATCAATCACGATAAAAAAAAAGGCGCTTAAAAAGGCCGAGAAAAAAAAAGAAAAGAATAAGGAGAGGAGAAGAAGAACGTTCACTGTGACTGCAATCATTACTGAGGGGAAAACAAAAATTGCGTGATTTCGCGAAGAACACGTTACACGTTGTAAGCCGTATTTATGTAACGCGATATGTCGCGCGTAATCTAATACACTGCGCCGGTAAGTCGCAGCGAGAGAGAGAGAGAGAGAGAGAGGGAAAGAAAGAGAGCGAGAAATTGTTCGCATGTGAATGTTAGGTTTTGTATTTTTTATTAATTTTCATTCTGCGCGCGTCTCGGAGAGATGACGGACAATCTCCGACAAGAAATGGTCTCCTCGACGAGGAGGACCCCGCGGAAAGATCGGGTGTGTGTACCTGATCGGGTGCGTTGTTCTTCGTTTTCTCGAAATTTGTATCCTTGAAAGAATGAACACACATAGAGAAAAAGAGAGAAAGAGATAAAAAGAATTGTCGAGAAAACTCGCAAGAAGACCATACCGAAAAGATACAGCACGCGCGCTCGTTCTCGGAAGAGTACACACCAACGCGTATATACATTATATACATACAAATGTACACACTCACATGAGCAAACGTATGAGAAAGGTGGGATGGCAAAAGAAATGTCTTCTTAACTTGTTCCGAATGTTTCAATTCAGCCGAGGGTCGTCGTAGATGAGAGAGGAAGCAGGAAGGAAAAGGAGAGATTATGTAGAGTACTGCGGGAAAATTCTCGTGAGTCGTTTGAGTCGCTGATTTGCAGCACTTTTTTGCAGCGTGTACGTGCGACGAGCGTTTTGTGTTACGACGTTCCTGGGCGTGTTATTTTTACTTTGTAATCGTAACAATATACCGTTATACATTTACTTCACTCGATGGCGAGCGAGAATATCTTTCGAGCGAAAGAGGACGAAAGAGAGAGAGAGAGAGAGAGAGAGAGAGAATCTTAAAGGAACGGTGAACGTACCATTCTGTCGGTCCTTTATTAGTAACATGCACAGTTACGTGTTAAAATAAGCGTAACCGAATATGCGAACAAAAATATCAACGAATGCTCCGGAGGATTATTGTATGTTGTACGGCTGTTGTATGCGAGATGCCTGCAGATTTGCGTGTCGCGAAGTAATCTTTGGGCGGTTTAAGGTTCACAGTACAATAAAAATCGAATTGAAACTTTTCTTCTTCATCTTCCGGGGTTATTTGATGATCGCTTGGAGTTCTTCAAGTGTCATCATGTACGATCATGTCGTCACTCAGCGTGCAAAAATATGAATATAGGGTCTTTTACACGCGCAAGATATTAAACTATCATTAAATTGTAGCAAAATTATTTATTAAATACGAATGAGAATATTTATACTTTATTTATGTGTACTTCAAAGTAAAATGAAATACATTGCTATACCACCATGAAGTACATACATCTTTCATTACATTGTCTTACATTGTATATTGTAAATTATAATATAAACTTTTGTTATATATTTCCAAATATAACATATATAACACATTCACATTCGTATCGACTACATTTCGTAATATAATCTGTATTTACACTTATATAGTTTATTTTACAATTGTAATTCATACGTGTATTTATCTATATATTTATTTCATGATGCATTCATTTTTTCAAGACACCCAATTTCCGATTGCCACATCTGAATAATTTAATCAGCCGAATAATTAGCGAACAATTGATTCGTGTACATCCAAGCCATATGTCTTCATTTAAAGAACTCAAAACAACTTCCGGACCACTTAAAAGAACCAAGAATAAAATTTTTTCTTTAATATCATCAGACTCTACGTAAGGTGACAACGAGAGAAAAATTCCGTTATATTTCGTTTTTATTGTACTGTGCGTGAAGAATGACGAAATTTCTTCTCTTGTCTCCCAAATTTTTCTGCGACTAACTCACACTATGCAAATCTGAAGACATCCTATGTATTGGATGAATCAGCGAGGAAGAGTGTTTCAAATGTGAAATGAATGAAGGTGACAAGAGAAATTGATCAAAGAAAGGAAGTTCATCAATATGTCGTACACTTATAGTTATCATTAGCAATAAGTTATTGTGCGCGTCGCGAAGCGCGTGTACACGTACTTCTTGCATGCGTAGGTTTTAACGTATGCTCCGTGAAGAATGATGTAGAATGTCAATATTGTTACAAAAAAAAATACCTCATACGGGGCGATGGATCAGCACGTATTAATTCAATGTTCTTTCATTCGGTGAATTTTTCCGTTTATAGTATTATGCGAAGAGAAAGAAGTGACAGGAGACTTCTATACAAAAATGAATATAATAAAGATTACAAAAGGATCACGTATACAAGGTATATTCTCGTTGATTATACACTAGACCTTTCAAGCAGAGTTGGTAGCTGACATATTGTTTGTAATACCGTTACCGTTAAGAGTAACTTTTCTCTAGTAACAGCTTCGTAAAAGTGACATTTTTTTTTATATTAGTAATGGTAACGTGATTACATTTTCAAGGTAATAATAATGGTAATTAATATAATCGTAATTTTTACCACGACTTAGTACTCGCAGAATACGTTTATATGGAAGCGATGAATTCTAAGAAAGAAAAAACTTACAAAAGTAACGGAAATTGTAACCATTTGTTATTTTTTGAGTAATGATAAGGGTAAGAAGCTACTTTTTCAATTTATCCCAAATTAAATATGTCAGAGTGACGTTCACAATTTACTAATAATGTTATTATCATCGCACATCTTTTGGTCACAATTTGATTAAATTGTGTGGTAAAAAGTTGTTATACGAACTGGATAATACACTCTGTATGTATATAAAAAACTTACTTGTTTATTAATATATATTATTCAGTACAGTGTTATACGCAATTGTGCGGGTATAATTTTATTATATAATATATATAAAATAGTATATATTGGGGCTGAATAAGGTACCATTACTATTTACCGAAAAATTGTGGTTTAAGTCCTGGTTAAAAAGTAGATTTTAGCTGAGACTCGAATCTCAATTTATCTCAATTCCGTAAAATTTAGCCGAGAATAAAGCGGACGTTTTTTATGAATTTTTAAAATTATTTGATAGTATTTTAAACAAAAAAAGGAAATTGTGAAGAGGATAAGTGACTGAAAACTATCGACAGTTTGAAATAAATTATCGATTGTTATCGATAATGTAAACTATCGATAGTATCATCGATAGTGTAAACTATCGATAGTGTCATCAATAGTTTTCCGACTGTACGATAGTATATACTTAAGCGCGGGAATATTGGATATTGACTTTAGGAGTTTAGAGAATAAAGAATAAGTTTGCATAAAATATCGTTGCATTTCGAAGAAGAATAACGACGATAATAATCTGTGCTGAGAAAGGACACTTCAGTGTATGTAGTAACCTTGCACTAGTGCAGGAAATTCAGCCGAAAGGAACACAAGTTCTAGTAAACATCGAGAAATAATTACATTATGTCGATGTTGTAATGTTTTATTTAACAATGCAAATACAACATAACGCGTGTACGTTATATTGTCGAAAAAGTGAGAAATTATAATATTGATGTACTGTTACTGTCACCTGATATTTATTGGACTCTTATCAAATTTGAAATGCGAGTAGTGGGGAAGCATGGTTTGCGTGTTACCAATCGCGTAAGACCACGATCGCAATGGCGGTGTGGCTGAACGGTTTTGTGTTATCGGCTGGATAGGTGTTGGTTTTTCTCGGTACGATCGAGTCGATTTTCTTATTTACAACGTTGCTCGCTGCACACGGTGGATCGATTTCTTTTCAGTCATGTACGTTCTCCTGTTAGCTGCTGTGTTACATTTCGCTTTAGACGGTACGTGCCCCTAACCTTCCCTGCGTTTTGAATAAATCACAATATTTGCCCGTATACGATTAATAACGGAGTTGCTTTTCAGTAGTAGGAAGTGTTTCTCAATTGGAGATCAATAAGCATTTAGAGCTTGGCAGAGAGTTCCTGGCAAAGGGCCAGTTGCAAGATGCATTGTCGCATTATCATGCAGCTGTCGGTAAGTTAAATTATAATCCCGTGATCGGTTTTGAAATTTCTTTAAATATGTTCAATGGATCGTCGTCGTCACCAGGAACAACATGGAGCGACAAATGTCTAAATATTAATTTCTTCCAGATGGCGATCCAAATAATTACTTGACACATTATAAGAGAGGGACGGTTTACTTAGCTTTAGGTAAAGCCAAATTTGCTCTCCATGACCTTGATAAGGTTCTGGAATTGAATGCAGGCTTCATACCTGCAAGATTGCAACGTGGTAATATTTTACTTAAACAAGCAAACTTTGATGAGGCTGAAGCTAACTTTATGGATGTGGTATGTTACTTTTATGTGCAGATTATTTATATAGGGAGTGGTGCATGAAGATCCATATTCATGTTTGTTGCAGCTATCTGTAGAACCAAATAATAGAGATGCCTTGAATGCCTTAGATAAATTATACCCAGCTAAAGAAGATATGAAATATATCGACATGTTGGTGCACAATAACGATCATACAGCAGCTGTGCACCAAATTACACGACTCATAGAAATATGTCCATGGTCATCTCACCTTAGAGAACGTAGGGCTGAGATTTATTTACTTCTTGGAGATTATATGAGTGCTATATCCGACATACGCTCTACTACAAAACTGTTATCTGACAATACAGAAGGATTTTTCAAACTCTCAATGTGGCTCTATCGCCTTGGGCAGGTTGAAGAAGCTTTGAAGTAAGTGAAAAATAAAACTATGCAATCATGTTGCAGTTGCTTACATCAGGATGCAATATTAATTCAATGTTCAATATTTAGAGAGATTCGAGAATGTTTGAAGCTTGATCCAGATCATAAAGAATGCTTCCCATTCTACAAGAAGATTCGAAAGATCAGCAAATTGCTGCAAGATGCAGAAAAAGCATCAGAAGATACGAAGGACTACGAGACATGTGTCGAGTCGGCTCGTCGTGTGTTAATACAAGAACCAGATGAACAAAATGTGCGGTTTACAGCTTTTCATCTTCTCTGCAAATGTTACATCGGCATTTCCGAAACGACAGATGCGATTAACAATTGTCAGCAAGCATTAAAAATCAGGAAGGAGCCAGGTGTCATTTGTGACAGCGCAGAGGCGTATCTCGCTGGAGAGATGTTCGATGATGGTAATTTAGAAGTTTTCGGAGTTTAGTATTTGCCCAGAGAGCGAAAGAGAGACATTTAAAAAATTAAAATATATAAATTTGATACAACATATATCTAGTATAACATTATAAATAATCGCGTATTAAATAATGATTAATCTAAATGTTTGAAAAACTCAAGTTAAACATTTCTTGCTGTTTTATGATAAACTTGCATGTTTTACAAATACTTTCTCTTTATAGCCATCAGAGAGTTCAAGGAGGCATTGGAGATAGACCCGAACTTCCAACGGGCGAAGCAAGGACTGCAAAAAGCGCAACAACGTCAAAAGATGTCAGAATCACGAGACTACTACAAGATCTTGGGTGTGCCGAGAACTGCGAAGAAGAAGGATATCATAAAGGCGTATAGGAAAGCGGCGCAGAAGTGGCATCCCGACAATTTCCAGGAAGGTGACGAGAAGAAACGCGCCCAGAAAAAGTTCATTGACATCGCCGCTGCCAAAGAAGTCCTCACGGACGACGAAAAGAGGGCGAAATTCGATCAGGGCGAGGATCCGTTGGATCCGGAGTCGGGCCGACATCAGCAAGGCTTTAATCCCTTCCAAGAGTTTCACCACTTCCACGGCTCTCCCTTCCAGTTTAAATTCCACTTCAATTAGATACGCGTCGCGCGCGGTCCTCGTCGTTGTAATAGAGCAATTACTATTCGCGGAGTTTATCCTCGTCACATCGGACGTCACCATCGCTTCACGTCATCTTCTCGCTGTCCTAGCCTGAATTTCACGTCACTACCTCGTGGGTGTAAGTCGTGTGTGTTTAATTCGTTTAAACGGATTCGGGGGGGGGCACCGTGAATGTGTGACACTTCGGTGAATTAGTATGCACGAACTATCTCGGCCAGACCATCTCGTGATATATCCGGACGATCTCGTTTGACGTTTGCAACGTCAACACGTTAACGCGCTTTTCGGTACGGTAACATAACGAAGCGAATTTCTGACGCGATCGACGTTTGCTTCACAAGCGTACTTCTTAATGGCCGAGAGAATGTAAACGCGTTACCTAATTCAACCGTAAGAGGAGGGAAGAGGGCGACTATGAAATTATATACACGTAAAAACATATAAAATAGTGAGATGACTATCAAATGAAATCATGAACTTTTTTTAGAGAGAATTTAGGATCCTTTATAAGGTATTTTCGAGACGTCACGTACGTAACGCTGCCACAGCAAGCGCTTTTCCAAAATGGCGTATTTATACGCCTTCCGTACCGAAAAGATTAATAAGACGCAAGGTAGAACTTTAATCGTCCGGTAGTTTCTTTACTGCAAGAATCACGATATAGTTATCTCTCTAGAGTACATGCATACAGACTGAACGATGAAGATGATCTACTTGGATTCGCGTAAGCGTCGTTTGTTACGTACAAACTATGTGCAGTTTTTACCGTCGCACTATCGATCTATACACGCTAGTGGTACATACACGCGCAACTGTGTGTGATCGTCATACTAGGTTTGTAAAGGAAGAATGTACAGTTGATCATTACACTGCCACTGATTTGCTTCAGCGGCTTCTCATTCGTTTTAGCTTCGAAAAAGAAAGAAGAAACAGAGAGAAGGAAGAACGTGCGACTATTAGATAGAAATAAACGTGAAAGCCATTTCTCGTCGATGACGCGCTTACCGAGTACGAATACGATACATTCACTAAGTATTTATATCTCGTTAATATTAATCCGCGCGGTATCCGTACTCGGTAATGTTCATATAATGTTCACATAGAACAATGCTGTGCGCTTGTCGTGTTTGCATGAGTGAGTCGGAACTTCATGTGTAAATACTGTATCTCTGATATTTGTTTAAAAATATATATATATTTGAATAATTTATACAGACACAACTCTCGAAGGCATTATATATATATATATATATATATATATATATATATATATATGTATATATATATAATAGTATGTGTAGAAGACGGAGTCTCTCTTTGACAAAATGCGAAGTATAAATATATATAAAAAAAATACCGAATTCTCTTTCTGTCGTTTGCTCAGGCATAAAAGTCCTCTTTTTTTATGAAATGTTTGCGAGTCTGGCGTACTTTTCATCTCTTCTTAACGTGCGCTTTTTTCGCTCTTTTCAATTTCTTACGATTCTTCATTTTTTCCCGCAAGTTCTCTAATTTGCGTCTCACCATGTAGCCTTTCCACATCGCCTGAATGATAGTCGCTGCTTTATTCAGTTTCTTCCAATACCTCGCTTCTTCCTGCAATCTCTTTTCTTCAGCGACGCACTCGTCAATGAATTCTTGTCGCCTGTCCCTTAAAGCGCGCATTTCTCCTATCTCAAATTTCTGTTCTTCCACTTCTCTCTAACACGAAGGTAGATAATTTACATTTCTTTTTACTTACAAAATATGTGTCCGTTGCTTCTAACTAACCAATTGAAAGCTGAAGAAACAACCGACTTGCACACCAAGTGTGTTTTTTTTGGCTGAATTGTTCGCATTAGTGCAAAATTCGAGTATACCTTTAGCTCGTCTATCTCCCACTGTAGTTGCGCGACTTCCTCGTTGTACCTTTTCGTCCACTCGACCACCTGCTTTTCTTTAACCCTGATATCTGCCTCTAAGTAAGCGGTCATTTCCGCCGAGACAACCTGTTCCGCGCTGTACTCCTTCGTACAGTCGCTCAGCTCGTTCAGCATGTCCGTCTTTCGCAGCTTCAGCTTGAGCTCCTGCTGCTCCAACTTGGCCTTCGCCCATCTTTCCGCGTAACCTGGGCGCAACATTGCGACGGTAGAACTTAGGATATCGAGAGACGTGCGTTTAAGTGGTCTCTCTCTCTCTCTCTCTCTCTCTCTCTCTGTGTTTACTTAGTTTCGCGCTGTTCAAGAATATCGCGTGGTCGACTCGCGCGTCGCTTTCCTGAGCGAGACTCATCATCTCCTTCCTGTCCTCTTCGTTCGCTTTCTTATCGGACTCCAACAAGTCCCGAAGTTGCTCGGCTTGGCTGTGCCATATCTGCGCGTTCACTTCGAGATTGTGCTCACCTTCCTGCCTCTTGGCGATATTATTAATTTCTTCCTGCAGGCTGTCGAATCTTCGGTTGTTCCTCACGTCGCGGAGAACTTTTTCGAGAACTTTCTGCACGTAGTTCCTGAGATTTTGGAGGATTTTGTGAGGACGTACTCTTGCAGCGGAGAGTCTTTGTGGAACACTCACTCGAAATATGTTTGGCATATTAACGAATTGCGGATTGTTTTACATACAGGGTAGGCCATGTATAAAGCTTAACAATGTTACATCTCGAGAATTAAGCAATCAATTTTAATATCGTCTTTGTCTTGAATTTTATAAATTTCTAATTTTTTTAGATACTAATTTTCCCAGATTTTTATACCTTCTATTATTCTATTAATTTTTAATATATTAGGAATGTAATTTAATTTCGAGTTTTTTTTTTCAAAAACATTTCCTTAAACAAGATGAACGAATACTTTAATAAAAATATTTTCCTTCATTTTCTACAACTTTTTTTCATCTTTCTGGCAAGAGATGAATCCCGCGACGATAAAAAGATTCTTCTTTGGAGTTGATTCATTTTTCAATAAATTTTCGCACTTATTCGAAGTTATAAAGGTATGTATCCTCTAGAGCATGTTACATCGACTGGAACAATAATAATGATAATCAGATAGAGCAATATCTGGAGAATACGCGTGGTGCGGTAAGATTTCCCATTCCAGTTCTAATAGCGTTTGTTTCATGCTTGATAATGCAACATGAGGTCGAGCATTGTTCTGAAGAAGGATCACCTTGTGTCGTTTACTCGCAAGTGATGTCGTTCCTGGTCCAATGCTCGCTTCAATTTATATAATTGTTGTCGATAACGATCAGCGGTGATACTTTCATTCGGATTTAACAGTTCATAGTACAATATCTTCTTGAATCCACCAAATACACAGCAATACCTTTGAACCGTGAATATTGCACCTCGAAGTGAATATTGCTGATTGGCTTGAATTAACTCATGATTTTTTCGTTCGAGATTATCGAAATAGATTTATTTTTCATTCCCAGTAACAATTCGATACAAAAAACTTTTCATTTTCTGTCTCGCGATCAATGAAATGCAAATGTTCAACCAGTTCGTAATGGCATTTTCCGATAATTGATATGGAACTCACTTTCCTTCTTTGTGAATTTTTCCTATATCATGTAAACGTTTAGTAACTGTTATATGATCAATATTTAATAATCTGGCAAGTTCTGAAGTAGATTATGCTGGATTTCGTCCAATATTGCTTGTAAATCTGTATTCTCAAGCTCTTTTGGTTATCTCAAGCAATCTTTGTCATTAACATTGAAATCACCACTTTTAAATCATCTAAACTGAGGGTTTCCACCCGGGTGCTCGCATCCCCTGGGGGTGCGAAAAAACATTCCTGGGGTGCGAGGAAAAGTGATTGTAATTAATAATGATTAAGATGAATTCTGGAATAATCCGGAATTTTTACCATCAAATTAAAAAAAGTGTTATTAAGATTATATATTTTTTACGTATCTGTATGTATGTATTCATTATGTGTCACTATGCAAAGCTTGATATCATGGATAATAATTTTATAATATTAAAATGATAGTTAATTTCTATAAAACAATACTATGTGATAATAAATTATTATAAATTAATTTCTTACCTTAAAACCCTAACAACTAATTTTTACCATAAAACATACGAATAATTTTTTTTGTAGGGGGTGCGAAGATTCATTAATAAATTTTTAGAAGTGCGAAATACAAAAAAGGTTGGGAAATCCTGGTCTAAACCAATATTCATATGTCTTAATTGATGGAGCAACATCGCCATAAGTTTCTATCGGAATTCTATAACCTTCAGCCGTAATTTTCTTCAGATTAAAAAACAAAAGCAACGCATATCGAAAATGCTCTTCAGAAAGCTCCATTTTTAAGATAATATTAACACGATTTTTACTGCGTCTATGTTAGTAAATTACTAAATATCGGATTAATATTAAAGCATTAAGAAATAATAGCTGTGATTGGAATGTCTTCGATAAAATTGATATTAGTGCTATCTTTTGTAAAACCCTCAAAACTAAATCACACCCCTAATATTATATTTACTTAAATTTCAATTCAGGGAATCCGCTTGTGTAAAAATAATGTCATTTATATCAAGTAAAAGTCCCTATAAGATTCTCTGATAGTCTAGTTAAGCCTGGACCTCTCAATGTGCAATATATTTGGTCTAGCAGCGGCGCCAAGGGTGGGCCTGGGTGGGCCCTGGCCCACCTAAAAATACGCTGGCCCACCCTAAAATTTTAGAAAATTTTAATATAATTATGCTGTCCTATTCTGTCCAAGCTGTTCCAAGTTTTTAATTTTTTTATATGGCTTTATAAATATGGCCCACTCATATAAACGCTGGCCCACCTGTGGCCTACCCGCATGAATAGTTCTGGCGCAGCCTATGGTTTGGTCTATTAACGAATAGTAAATTGTGTTCTGGCAAATATACCTGTCCCTCTGCATTTTCTCATCCGTGTTAGGTACGAGCGGCAACAAGCCCAAGTCTTCTCTGAAGATCATCCTGGGCTCATCGGGTACTCCGTAGGTCTCGTCGATTGTCTTAAACGTGTCGTCCCAGCGTGAATCGACATCGGCCGGTATTATGAAGCCGAACGTAGCGAGTTGCTCGACACATTCCTCAAGCACGCACGAAATAGCGCCCGCTTCCAGCGGCGTGAAGGAGTCAATCGGCGGTATATCCATCTGCATACTTTGCACCCCGATATTTTCCGAGGCTTCCGCTCTCGAAAATGTGCTTCCGGCTGAAAGGGGCTCGACGGATGTTCCGGCTCCGTCTATGCGTAACGACTGTGTGATAAATAATATCGTGTTTATCATTGTATAATAAGCAGCATCGATATCATGCGATGAGACGTGCGTGTGTAAATGTTAAGGGAAGTCGTCGTTTTTCACAAAATGAAGATTAATCGTCTCCACTGATTATCATCTCTACACGCACGGAAACTTCGTATTGCGTAGATTAGATTCATTATAGCGCGACTATAAACTCAGGAAAGAACAGAGATTTCTCTTTTTTTTATCGCAACCCGGTGAATAGCAGCTAATCTTACATCGGTGTTGCAATTTGCCACTCGACAATGTACATACGTACAATATCACATATAAGCGCGTGTAACATCGTTGAGTATGTATATCGTTGAGTGGAAAATCGTAACATTGGCGTAATGTTGCTGTAAGTGGGTATTTGACCGAGAGATTTAAGAAAATAATTATACAGGGTGTCCAAAAAATCCCGGGCCGATAAAATATCTCGAAAACTAAACATTTTAGAAAAAAATGTTTCATACAAAAGTTGTATGGTTTCAAGGGAGACATAAAACAACTGTATCATTTTGTTTACATCACTTCCGAGATATTCACTGATCATTATTTTTCTTAAATGGAAACCCCAGTTTTTTATTATATCATCTTTTTCTACCAATTAATTTGAATAACTTTTGTCTGAAACATTTTTTATTGGCCCAATATTTTCTGAAATATTTAAGAATAACTTGATAATTTTTTCAATATTTAACTTACGATATCTGGCTAACAATTTGTCGGAAGAAAAAGTGGTACTAGACTTTTTTTACTCTATTTAATCTTAAGAATATATTGTTGCAATAGTGCCTTTTTGCTAATTTGATGCTTTTGAAATTTCCAAAGGTCGATAAGTTAGACCATATAATTTTTGTATGAAACATTTTTTTCTAAAATGTTTAGTTTTCGAGATATTTTACCGGTCCGGAAATTTTTGGACACCTTATATGCAAAGATCTTCAACAATCTCTTGATGAATCATACTATACCCTGAAGAGACGTCTTAGCTTATAATTGATGCGTTTACTCGTTAATTCATGAAAAAAAGTAATTAGTAGAGGCAATAATTCTGTCCTAAAAAAACGTACCTTTCTCGAGATAAAAATATTAGTTTCGTTCATCCGACAACTAAGCATTCTTACGCGTTCTCTCTCTCTCTCTCTCACTCTCTCTCTCTCTCTCTCTTCAATATGATTTTATATTCTCATCACCTTACGTTGTATGTCATGCGTAGCCATGTCCGATGTAGCTGGTACACTCAATGGCTTAAATATAGCGGACTCAGCGATTGTATTTCTACATTCGTTCGTTTCTATAAATTCCTCATCTTTTGATATTTCTAAAAGAGGATCGAATGCGGAGTCTGGCTCATCCGTATCCTTAAGCTCGGTATCAATCTGCAGACGCGCATTTGCTCTCATCAATTGATGTAACGAGCGAAGAACCATTGTTTTATTCCGACATGTCTCTTTTTCGCGCGATAACAGACTATTCTACCGTTTCATCCGTAATTTCCATCTTGGAGAGCCTATCCAGGTTTTGTAAGAATATGCTGGCGGACTGCTTTCGCGTTTCCTCAATAGCATTCTCGTTCGCTGACGCGTCACCGGCGAAGATCACATTTCTACGAGCTTGCTGAAGAGCTATCGTCGATAGTCTTTGGAGCGCGACTTCCTTTTGAAAGGCATGCACATCCTGCGACGTGCTGAACTCACTTACCGTCATCTCGGGGGTATACTAAGGCAGCAATTATGTGCGTTATTATGTTATTTAATAAAAGAAAAAAAACGCGAAATTTCGGCGACCAACAACTTGAACGGTAATCTATAAAATAATTAGTGTAATGGTATTTCATTGATACACTTTGAAGTTGCAAAATCAAAGAGAAGGAAAAGAGAATCAATATCGATACGATTAAAGTATTTTAGGATATACGTTCAATAGTTCACTTTTATGTAACATTAGATTTTCAAGAGTCACGATTTTCAAGAATTGGTCGAATTATTTGTTCCAGTTTGGACAAAAATTGCCATTGGCAGCGGCCTAACCGTGTTTACCAACCTTATCGTTGTGCATTTTCGGACTTTCTTCTTTTCCCCTATTTCTTTTCGTTAGTTAACATATTGGTCAGCAACATACGAAATGCGTATGTGTGAAATATTATCATCGGTTTGAACTCTCGGCTTAATCTCGTTCCAAGATATATTGCTAAATTTTTGCAATCTTCTTTGTCAAACGCGTAAAAATTTGAAATTACGCAATCCCATCAAACAAAGACAAACTGAACCGCACGAACATCGTTCCGGTGAAGATTGTTTCGTGTTAATTTATGCGCAAACGTTGCTCATTCGAAATATTTCGAATGTAAAACCGAGTAAGTGTGATTCGAGATATTCTTCGCTCTCGTGGGCTTTACATAGAATCTCATTAGTTTCTTTATTGAAAATAAAGATATATTTATAGTAAATTTCTCTGATACATTTCATCTATAAATACATTAAATAAATATATCCCCTACAGGAGTCATCACCGTGTTTATTTGTTTGAGGTGCTTGATATTCTTGAACACTTAGTTTCTCTCTAAGAGCTAAATTTTAAAAGCATACTGTGAGTTCACTTTAAGTTATGCAACTTTATGTTTTCATGAACACGTTTATGAACCTCCTATAACTAAAAATTCACTCGTATACCTTCAACTTTAAGATAAAGAATACACAATATCATACCGGAAACGACAAAATTCAGCAAAGAATAATACAAGAAAAAGAAAAAATTAATAACGACGTAGGAAATCGAACAAAATAATTGCTCGACTTCTTCAGTTAGTTTATGTAGACTTCAGTCAGACAATTAATGACGAGATACTTGCATTCGCATACTTCATTTACGCAGAGACACGCACTACTCGTAAATTTGCGAGGAAGTCACATTTCGAATTCATCATGCGTTAATAACGAGCGTAAATCTCTCAGCAAAAAGTAATCAAACACCAGCGCGATCCGGATCGGCACTTTTTCTACTGGTGATAACTGGCATTTCGCTCCGCACACATGAATATCTCTTTGTTGTATAATTCGCTAAAAATAAACTCTCCGTTAACCATTATACAGAATATCTTTGAATATTTAACGAGTCTCCCAATATAACACACTTTGTACACACTTTGTACACAGTTGTTGAACTTTTACACGGTTTCCTGTTCTACGCGCGTTTTACTCGCTACAACATGATATACATATCATTTCGCTTTACATAATACGGCTATTGTCATGGTAATAATGATGTAAGAGCTCTCGTGTGATACGTACGCCCCGACCGATTTTACATGCATTTCAATGCAAATTAGCTGTACCTGCGCGGCTGTAAAAGCGCATTAACATTCATCGATATAGATTTACATGCCATATACGTGTAATTACGCGTGCGTAGCTGGTAATAAGGCGGAACGTGGAGTAGAAGAAGAAAGCCATGGCGTATTTTCAGCGAGTCGCGACCTTCCACGTTGCGAAGGTATCGGACTTCGCTCGCGACCGGGAATACTGCTTGCTATCGGCTTGCTATCGCTGGCATAATAATACGGGCTATTTTTATTGCACGTTCTAAAGACGCTCGCTACTTACGCAAACGGCGGCAACGAAGATTGACAACTTCGAGAAAAATCTCGAGGACGCTCACACGAAGTAACTGGTGTACTCGTGCGGCATCACTCCCCGTCTGGGATAAAAGGTGTGACTGGTGGAATATTCCAAGAGATTCGTGATCGTGCTCATGTAGATGTCGGCGAATCGGAAGAGCCTCCGGGAGAAATAAGTCGGGTTGTGGTACGTTCTGAACACCGAGCCGAACTGCTTGTTGAAGACCGACTTGATCTCGTTTCGCAGTTGATCCCGCTCCTCCATCCATTCGTCCAGCACGTTCTGCACTTCAGGCCCTTCGTAATCCTGATGCTCCTCGATCAGGCCGGTTAACATCTGAAGCCAGTTCGCGTTCTCTTTGAACTTCGGGTCGTTCAAAGTTTCGATCTCGTGCTGTAATTAAATTGAAACGTAATATACGATCTTACGACTGCGCGCGGTCTATTATTTCAATCTAATTTCATGCACCGTTATTCTCTCTCTCTCTCTCTCTCTTTCTCTCTCTCTCCCTTTCTCTCCCTTTCTCTGTCTCTTTCTTAAGAGAGAAAGAGAGAGAGAGAGAGAGAGAGAGAGAGAGAGAGAGAGAGAGAGAGAGAGAAAGAATGAGAGAAAGCAGATTGATGTCATTCGGCAAGTAACAGCGGGAATTCAATGTTTGAATCACCGTTAATTCCTTGATTATCGCCCCCGTTCGCCAGCCGTGTTCCAAGGTCACGTCCGCCAAGTCGCTGTATGGGTGATCGCCAAAGTATAATACCTGATGTCCCCGCCATCCGGTCATATCCTGCAACTGCTTGACCGTGCCCTAGAGAGATTCGTGACAATGAAGCGCGCGACAATGAAGGTCCCGTAACTGAAATCGCGTGATTTTCCCAACGTAAGGCAGAGACTCACTTCAAGATATATGACGCCCTTGTCGAGCCTGGTAACGCGATCCCAGAGTTGCGTTTGCTTGACTTCATCGTAGATCCTCAGCGGGCGCGACTCCTCGGTGAAGAATCTCGGTTTCCTCGCTTGTACGATCACCACGTCGAAGTAGTCCTTCCAGTTCTCGCCCACCAGAAACTGCATACCCTTGTCGCTGCATCAATATGTACGCTCGGTCATCATCGCGCGGAGTCCCGCGAAATCGTCGACGCGCCCGGGAACTTACACAAAGTGGAAAGGACTGTTTGTGACCAGGAACATATTCTTCTTCGCCTTTTGCAGCCGCTTGAAAAATCGCTTCAGGTCTTTATTCTGCTCCAGGTACTCCGATACATTTTCCACGACTAGTTGGTGCATTATAGGGTGGCAGCTTTGCACGGAATTCTACATGGAGAAAAACAGTTCAGTTCTCGCATAGCTGCGATCCAACTGCTTCGCAACTGGGAAAACATAAAAGTATCTCTATCCCGAACAAAAAATTATTAAGGCCATCCTTGTAAAGCTTAAGACCCCGAAATGGATCTTTTAGGGATATGTTAGATTTTACGAAATAAGGTTTTGATAAGAAAAACTAATAAGGGCTTTAGAAAGATTTATTAGGGGTATCTTAGATTTAATAAATAAAGGCTTTGATAAGGAAAAATGATAAAGACCTTAGAAGGATCTTTTAGAGATGCCTTAGATCTAATAAATAAGGCTTTGATAGGGAAAACTAAGAAAGGCCTTAGAAGAATTTATTAGAAATGCCTTAGATTTAATAAATAAGGCTTTAATAGGGAAAGCTGAGAAGGACCTTAGAAAGATTTTTTAGGAATGCCTTAGATTTTACGAAATAAATGCTTTAACATGGAAAACTGATGTGGGCTTTAGAAGGATCTTTTCAGAGTGTTTTAGATGTATAAAATCAAGTTTTGTTATAGAAAATTAATAAGATTTAAAGCGTATAATAAAATTGTCATAGTTTAGTATTGTTTTAGTAGGTACGCTCTATTTGGTTCTTTTAAAGATTTTTTAACTGTACCGCAATTAAAAACAAATTTGATTAGTTTTATTAGTTGCTATATTCATTAGTCTCTTCCAAGGATTTTTCTAATATTGCCTTCGTTTTGAAATGCAGCAGACTTTAATAAAAACAGTAGCAGGATTTTTATATATAAAGAATGCTATATTTTATTGTAACGTATGCTATATTTTTAAAATAAAAAATGTTTATTGTATACTAACAAGGTTATAAAAAAATAAAGAAATTACAGTCTAAATTTCTTGGAGTGAAAAGAACGAATATTTTTACTCAAGCAATAATAAAAATATTTCGACTCGCAATTACAAGAGTGAATGTTTCACTCAAACTTAGAATGGATTTTAACTCCATATCTTAATATTACCCTATGAGGCTATCATTAATATTGCCTTAAAACTCCTGTTAATATTTCCTTATAAGGCTCTATTAATATTGCCTTATAAGTCCTTTATAATATCGCCTTATACGGACCAGTTATAAATTTGTTACACATCTTATCGGGCCCTTATTTTTTATCCCTACTAGAACCCGATTAATGTTAAGGAAAAATAATCAGACCCTTATCAGCGCCCTATTAATTTTTCTACTCGAGATTGTTATCAATGAAGATCCGATGGAAACGCTTGGTGTGACAAGAAATCGATGGCAGTTCTGTCACCGCGAGCGAAAACATTCGACTGTATTGACACTCGGTTGAAATAACTGAGAAGCAATTGACTTTGCGAGCAGGAACCTCTCACAGGAGGTTCGTATAACTGTGGGCAACACAAGTGTCCAAAAGATGTCTCTTGGAGACATCTAAAGAACATCAACGAGACTAAGGCGTCTTTTGGACTTCTTCAAGACGGCTTTTACAAGTTTCTGCTGTCTGTCTGAGTTTTCATCCGGTTTCCAGGCAACAGAAAACTCAGTTGCAGCTCCCGGCGGGGTTGTTTCTCCCGCTCAAATATCATGCAAGATTCATCTCGCGCAATCAATCGGCGCGAATACGCAGCCCGATGTAATTCGGATTATCCGGTTTACCTTGACGTCCCTAAACAGTATCTCCGGGTGATAATCGATGTGATTGCGCAGGAAATACTCCGTGACGTTGCACAATAGGACCATCTCTGGCACAGAGAATAGATCGGCCAATTGGACCATTTTTGTGCGATGCAGAGCGTCCTTGAACGAAGCAAAAGGAAACGTCACTGCGGTATTTTTCAGAGTTTCACCGTCGTAGATGGTGAAGTGAACATACGTACCTTCTACAGGACGACCCATCACCAAAAGTACATGTTACATGCAAACAGAGAAAGAGAAAGAAAAAAGATTGGGCATTTAATACCGTTATCGATGGATATGTGTAAATTATGCGATTTCTGCGGGGAATACCACCACTTTTCGTTTCATCGAAGCAGCAGGAATGACGGAAATGTCTTCTCGATGACTGAGACAAGCGGAATTCTGCCAATTCGCGGAATATATCGTTTCGTACATAATGTGGAAGATGTACACTTAGTTTCAAATATGATTTAAAGATTTTTTCTTCATATATACAAGGTATTTGGGATCTTTTGGAAACAAAAAATTGTGAAGATTAATCAAATCAAACTGAAAAGAAAAGTCCTTTTGCAAATAAGTACGCAAATTTTCAAGTTATCAATTAAAAGAGTCTCGAGATGTGGTAATTTTCAATTATTAATAACTTAATAATTATTGCGATTTTTTGCAACATGGTACATGACTTTTTTTCTCAATTTGATCTGATTAACCTTCACAATTTTTCGTTTCCAAAAGATCCCAGATATTCTATAGTATTGGTTACTTTATATTTACTTTACTTTACTCAAACCAATATATTGGTTTGAGTAAAGAATAATTTGGCATTTTTAGATGAAATTCAAAGACATTTTCATATTAAAAAATATTTTTAATAAATAATATATGCATTTTGTTCGACATCTTTTGTCTTGTTCGCTACCTTTCAAGCAAATTAAAAATTCCATTTTCCTAAAACTTTTCAGATTTCTGGGCGAAAAATTGGAATTTTTTCCATTGAGGGAATTCTGCAGAGATCTAAATAAATGGAAGACCTGATATCAAATCAGGTAAATACGAAGGATAAGACAAGACATTCCAGCCAAGCTACAATAATTTTTGCCAGGTTGCTAAAGTACGTAAGATCTACCGTTACTTGGAATATGACGCCATAACGATTGGTCAATTCTGGATGCTTCTAATCAATTGCTATCTTCAAACAGTCCAATTGAGAACAATACTTGTTGGAATCAATTGTTTGATTTTGCGGAAGCAGTTCGTAGTACATGATTCCTTTCCAATCCCACTAAATATACAGCACGACTTTTTTCATATGAATGTTTTGCTTCGGTGTGGTTTGCGGCGGTTCATTTCATTTTCCCCACGATCTTTTGCGCTCTACAATGTTATACACAATCCACTTTTTGTTGCCCGTTATCATCCGTTTTAAAAATGGAACGTTTTCATTGCGTTTGAATAATAAATCGCAGATGGAGATGCCGTCCATTAAATTTTTTTCGTTCAAATTGTGAGGTACCCAAATATCGTACCAAAATACGCCAAGCGTATGCAAATGATTCACAACAGTCTTTTGAGGTACGTTGATTATCTCTGCGATCTCTCGTGTCATATAACATGGCTTATTTTCAATCAATGTCATTCATTTGATCGTCATCAACCACCAATGGCTTACCTGAGCGCTCACCATCTTGACATGTCACCATCACAAGCACGAAATTTCGCAAACCAATTTTGGCACACACATTCACTTACGGCATTTTCTCCATACACAGCACATATCTCTTTTTTTATTTGCGTTGCATTTTTATCTTTGCAAAAATAGAATAGCATCAGACACCGGAAATACTGCTTATTTTGTTCCATGTTTACAATATCGCCAAATAAAAATTACTGAATAGATTTTAACAAATAACAACTTAAAATACAAGAAAACCTAACCTTTTAAAAAAATATGTGGTGTCAGATATTAAGTGAAAATTGCACTAAACACTTCCTCTTAACGCCATCTGCTCGCAAAATACGAAATTACTTTTTACTCAACCCAATATACAGGGTGTATAAAAAGTACCGGGACAGTGAAATATCACAAAAATTAAACATTTTAGAAACAAAATGTTTCAAATAAAAATTGTAGGGTTTCAAAAGATCTATTTACTGACATTATGAGTTTGACCTTGAATGGCGTCGCCAAGTTCAGGATAAGGACTCACCTTGAATTTTTTAAATGGGTCTCCATTTTTTATTGCATATTCTTGTAGCTTTTCTTCAGACCTTTTCAAAGCATTATAATTTTTTCTACTTTGAATAAGCTGTTTCGAAGTTATCGAGCTTTTATGATAAAATGTCTAGCCAACCAAGGCAAGATCAAAGAAGTATCCAGCCAGCCAAGGCAAGGTCAAAGAAGTATCTAGCCAGCTAAGGCAAGATCAAAGAAGTATCCAGCCAGCTAAGGCAAGATCAAAGAAGTATCCAACCAGCTAAGGCAAGATGATCATAAAAGAAAATTAGCAATTGAAAGCGCGATTAATGTATCAAATGCTCCAATTGTTCACCATTCATTGTTTGACAATGCGCTAATCGATGATAAAAACCTGAAACAGCATCTTCTATGTATTCATTAGGTATAAGTGTCTTCATCAAGCGCTTCATCAAGAATCCGATCTTGTAGGTCATTTAGATTCCGAGGTTTAGTTTTGTATACTTGATCTTTTAGATAACCCCAGAGAAAGTAGTTGAGAGGTGTCAAATCCGGTGATCGAGCTGGCCACTCGATCGTGCCTCTCCTCCCTATTCACCGTTCAGGAAAAATTGTGTCTAAATAAATACGAATGTTTCGTCTATAATGCGGTGCATCATCTTTTTGAAACCACACCTGTTGAAAGTTTTCACCAACGATCGCGTTGATTGCAGGGACAATTTGATTTCCCAGCATGTCTTCATATAAATGGGCTGTCGAGTTGCCTTCAATAAAGAATGGTCTTATCAATCTGTTATTTAATAGTCCTGCCCAAACGTTCAATTTCTGTGGATATTGCGTATTGTGTTCCCACATCTAGTGAGAGTTCATATTTGACCATAATCTGCAATTATGTCTAACAATACCGTTTAATTGAAACGTTGCTTCATCTGAGAAGACTATGTTAGATAAAAAGGTTTTGCATCTATTTTCACTATCATAGTTTCATAGAACTGAACACGTCGATCAAAATCGTCTTCGTTTAGCTCATGAACAAGTTGTATTTTGTAAGGGCGAAATTTATTCCTTTTTAATATCTTATACAGACATTATATAAGATTTATCTCATGTTCTTGAGCAGTTCTGCGGACAAAAGTTTGTGGATTCTCTTCGAATGATTGTAAAACATCCAGTGTCTTTTCTTCATTTGTTGCTGCGGCAGGCCTTCCTGTTTTAAAATGATTTTTAACGCTTCTTATTTCTTCAAACCGCCTTACAGTTTTTTCAACAGTTGATTTCGAAATAGGAGTATTCTTATCTCGAAAAGTTACATTGAAAAGATCCTTTACATCTTGATACGATCTTAATCTATGACACCAGCTCCTCATCATCAAGACAGATATTCTATCGCGTTCGGTAAGATGTTGCATTTTAATTGATGAAAATTATCGAGATGGAAATTTTGAAACGAATGAATAACTATAAGCAATACTTTAAAATGAACTGAATGGAAAAAAAATGTACAGAAATAAATAAAATAAAAATTGAGGAAATCCTTATAAAAGCATTTGAGGATAATATTAATCTTTAAAAGAAAAAGTAAAGTCTAACGAATAAGCTAGAAAACAAAATGATTTATCCAATAAACAGAAATTTGTATTAATTAAATAACAAAATCGATAATTCAATTAAAGAAAGAAAAATCAATGAAAAAAATAATTTATCTTTTCCGTATGAAACAACGCGTATTATGTACAAGTAATGTGTTCTACTTCAAGTCAAATTCATTGCAATTGATTTGAAATGAGTCGAAGGTGAATTTTAGTGCTGTTATAAATTTAGTACATTAGTATTACCTTTTTTTAATATTATATGTATCTGAAATATAAGTCACGAAATTGCTTCAGCCGCTGGTTGGACATCTTATCATAAAAAGCTCGATAACTTCGAAACGGCTTACTTAAAGTGAAAAAAATTATAGTGCATTAAAAAGGTCTGAAGAAGAGACTGAAGAACAATAATATGTAATGAAAAATAGGGGGTTCCATTTAAAAAATTCAAGGTGAGTCCTTGTCCTGACCTTGGTGACGCCACCCAAGGTCAAACTCATAATGTCAGTAAATAGATCTTTTGAAACCCTATAATTTTTATTTGAAACATTTTTTTCTAAAATGCTTAGTTTTTGTAATATTTCACCGTCCCGGTACTTTTTATACACCCTGTATGTATATCTTTTTCCTGGTATTTGCTTTATTTACCGCATCTCTAGCGATTCAACTGAACTTGAATTGAATTAAATTAGTGGAAATCAGCCCACGTGTCTAACAAACCGTGCATTGTCCTGCTGGGTTTGAGAAGACTATGAATTTTTGCGATATATGATAAAAATGACGGTGCTAACGTCGCGCACGTGCTTGACGCGTCGTTCTTCTTGCCTCGACCGAGATTCGCGACTTTTCCAATAACGAACTTACGTGAGAGTGTTTATGCGGTGCTTCCACGTAGGCTATCGGTATTATCCTATTTTTATAGATCCGGAGGACCTCGTCGTCGGGCACCTGATGTAAACCACGGTAAACGGTGCCAAATTGAATTTGCAAGAAGCTGTCGAGCTTCAGGAGAAGACCCTTTTCGATGTCGTAATGGAGGCCGCGGACGGCGAAATTTTCTCTGTACTCCAGATTGGCAATTCCCTCCGGGTACTGGGAAGACAATTAAACGAGTTCAAGAGAAGTTGAAGACGAAATTCTAATCGGCTGTAATTGTCTTTTGATTTCGGCAGAAATTCCGGACGGCTGTCCTTTGTGATAAAGACAAGTCGCCAAGTTTCTCGGCGCCTTTCCTCATTATACTTTTTAATCCTCTTAACTGTCCTGCGCGATTTTCGGTAGAACAGAGATTACTTTCACTTCATTGTGCAGTGCAACTGTGCAATGCAACAATGACTTTGGACTCAACATAGCGGACGCTGAGAGTGATACCTCGTGATGTAATATTTCGTCATATTCAACGGTCGATATTCGGTAAAAGTTACAGCCGAGGAGCGCATAAAGATTGACGATGTCATTCGTCCGTTTAACGAACAAGCGTATCGCAAAAGGTGTGATATATGAACCTTGTACTTCTTGATGAGCATATCGCGTCCCAGGCTGTAGAGCAAGTGGTCCATGGACGGCTTGTAGCACGCCAGCGTGTAATCGTAATCGAATCCATAGACTTGGACCTCTTTCAAGTCGAGCTCGTTGCATGCGAAGACACCCTTCGGGTTCACATCCTGCGGAAGCTTCTTCGCTACAATTGCAATATTACAAATTCGTCAAATCGCGCGCTCTCATTCTGCATTTTTCTATTCGAGACAAAAGCACCAATGCTGGGACACGTATCTAACTTTCTAATCTGATATTCTTGTTGGTCTCCAAATACGAATATTTGAGCTTCCAATGCGTTCAACATGCGTGTACATCAGAGTTGGGAAGTAACTCGTTACTTATAACGAAGTTACAGTTACAGTTATTTTTTTTTAGTAAATATAATTTAATTTCGTTTCTTTTTTTCATCAATAACTACGTTTACACGGCAACGTTAATCCGGATTAGTAACTACCGTAGTTAGTAAATTCTTTGATCCGATTGGTATATTCTTTTAGATCTGAAAATATACTCTAATCGGATTCGTACTAACGGAGACTGCACTAACTAGTAATGATAGTTACTAATCCGGATTAACGTTGCCGTGTAAACGTAGTTTATAATTGTAACTTAACTTGGTTACATTTGTTTGATAACTATGAGTAACTACGTAGTAACTAATTTAATAGTTACTTTAATTTAATAGTTACTTTAATAATACTAAGTAATAATTTAATAGTTACTTTAATAGTTACTTTATATATTTCAAACTTAAGTTCCTGGCGGACCAGCATGATAACGACTTGCGATGCTTGATATCCAATAAACATACTTTCTGGTTATTTTGGCTGCATTTAGAAAACGCGCTATTGCGTCATCTATCTTTATTAGATTTAAAACAAGGATAAAATGACGCAGTAGTGCTGATAGTCTCTTCTCCGAACGCAACTTGTATTTCGTTCAAAAAATTTGTGCGCCTATTGGACATTTCTGTCGCGCGTCGCCAGTCCTTATTCGTTAATATAACCTGTTAATATAACCTGCGTTCAGCGTGAAGTACATTGCGTGGTTTCAGTTATATAAAAAATTCAAACAATGAATAAAACCTCTTAATCTTCGGAGAAGAATTGTAAAATGCCATGGCCAGTATATGCAAAAATATTCGAATTACAGCAAAAATTTGGAAACGAAAACAACTGGGCATTTCTCTGCGAAATTGGCGCTGGTAAAAAATTATTCATGCAAGTAGAACCAATTGCAAATTTAAGAAAACATATGAGTATAAGTCTTTATTTATAAAATATCAGTATATTTTTTAGTGAAAAAATCTAATTTTTGATGTTAAGATTATTTTTGGTGTTTTTAGTATTTATTATCCTCATCAAATTCATTCACTGTCTTATAATTGTTATTAATAGTCTTAAAAAATAAATATGAATTGTTTATTTAAATTAATGAATCTAATTTGTAAAAATTATATACAATATGAGGGATATAATAATCAATAACTACTTTTATATAAAATTGAATTTATACAATTACGAAATTGAAAATAATAGCACAATTATTAAACTGAAAAATGACGACTCGTTACTTTCTAAATAATTATAACTGTAATGTTATTTATAAAGGTCAGTAACTTGTAATTGTAACTAGTTATTTTCTCAGTGAAAAAAACTGTCACTGTAACTAGCTACTTTTACAAGTAGATACTTTTACAAAGTAACCTTCCCAACTCTGATGTACATATTTTACATCGAAAGTGTTATCGTTTGAATTTGAGGGTCAAAACAATAAGAATTCATGGTCCCGGCGTCGGTGTTTCTATTTTAATTTGCAAAATTCCTAAGAAATTAAGAGAGAGCTTCAGCAAAGAAGGAAAATCTCAAATAAGACGCGTTTGCAATTCGGTATTAATAAATAAGACAGTATCTCGATCGTGCGTTGAACGTTTTGGGACTTCAGTCGCTCGAGCTTATCAATATTCGCATTTGATCTTAATTTCGCGTGACTCGAGGTCCCCGATTGGAACAACACGACGATACGGTTGTTATTCCTTCGGACCCGGCTAGCGATCAATTTATGCGGCGCTCTCGTTTCATCCTACAGATGTGCGGTACGAACTGATTTTCACTGTCCTAGATTTTTCTGCCTGTATTCTCGTCTCTTTCTTCTCTTCGCGGTCTCGTGAGAGAGCGAGGGAGAGAGACTGATCCCCGGTCTAAACCTAATCCGCTTGCGCTCGTTTCGCGCCACTTTTCGGCGCCGTTGCGAATTAATTAATTAATTAAGGCGAACGAATGCCAGATGAAATACGCATCGCCCGCTTTACTTACCTGCCCGAGGAATTTGCACGTCATTATCTCAGTGTGGCCCAGCGTGTCATTATTTCAGGCCTTTCGAACGTGACGATAAGATAATACGTTTGATGAATTTGTCAACGCGGCTGATTTGGCAGAGATGCGATCTTTAAAATTAAACCCCGAGAGACTGCATTGCACGCTCCTCGCGCTCGCGCGATAGAATTTGCATCGATCTTATTTCATTCTCCAACGCTTCAAATTACCGCGTTTCCCGAATTTATCTACGTATGATGGCGTACACTTGGATTCAATACGTTTTGAATATTCTGCTCTTTTTTTATATGCAGTTCGAAACGCAGCAGATGATCAATGAGAGGAAGTCATTCGCTCTCCCTCTCTCTTTTGGAAGTTATTCACAAACAAGTTTCCTCATTGGATATTTCCTGCGGTCTGAAACGCATACAAAAATGTTTAAACCGTTTTAGAATTCAGTGTACACTTGCATTCAATGCGATTTGAATACTTTTTTCTCGTACGCGTTCCGGAACGCAGTAAATGTCGAGCGGGAGAACTGGAAATTGGGAATTTTTCCAAAAACAAGTTCCCCCATCAGCTGCGTTTCGAACTATATCGAGAAGAAAAGGTGTCCGAACCGTGTTGGAATCCACTGCACGTCCATCAATTACCTCGGTAACAAGCGTTGATCCGAGTTCCAGCCGCGCATCGTATCGTGTCGCGTAGGGGAAGAATATTCGCGATGTTATTACCGCGACGTGAAATCGGAGTAACATTCAACGTCCTTGAAAGAGCTACATTACGAGCAATAGGAAGAGATTAATTGCATCACGCTGAATGTTTCTTTCTAAACGTGTCGAAACAGCTGGCGACGCGCCAGGCCCCATCGCTGTCGCTCGAGAATGCAGCCGCGAGACGTCTCTCATTCTCTCTCTCTCTCTCTCTCTCTTTCTCTCTCTTCCCGCCGCGTCAAAAATTCACCTCTTAATTAAATCTCATCCGCCTGCCTTTCCGTGACAGAGAAGAAGAGAAGGAAAGAGAGAGAAACGCGCCTCTCCGGGACGAAGGGATGGGATCGCTCGGTGGTGCGGCTCGCGCGCGCGTGTCAAGGTCGCGCGTCTGTTCGAGATATCGAGGAGCTCTCGAGCGCGGCGCGCATGCGCGCTGCATGTCAAGGCCGCGCGCGCGCGCGCGCACGATCGAGATATCGAACTGGTCGAGAGCGCGGCGCGCACGCGTCGCTCGCATTCGCTCAGGGCTTGTCGCCGTGAGCGAGAACGAGTGAGACGAATGCGCACAAGGACGACGCATGGAGAAGGCATGGCCGCGGCCGTTGTGGATGGTACTCACACTTGCACTTGTCGAGCACTCGTAGGTAATTCTGGCGCATCACCTCGCGCGACACCTCGCCGCGGTTGATGGCGCGGTCGCCCACCGCGCGTCGGGACGTCCCAGCGGCCGGCGCAGCGACGCCGCGGCTTAGCCAGACAGCGAACGGCGGTGCTTCGGCGAGAAGGCCCGATGTCGCGACGCGCCTCACGTGCAGCATCACGGACGATTGGCGGGCGCGCGACAACAACCACCGTGGTGTCGCGCGGCGATTGGCGCACGGCGCGCGGCGGCTGATTTGAATCAGAGCGCCGTCGTTGCTGTGTGCTCTTGCTGCTGCTCTCTCTCTCTCTCTCTCTCTCTCTCTCTCTCTCTCTCTCTCTCTCTCTCTCTCTCCCTCTCTCCCTCTCTCCCTCTCTCCCTCTCTCTCTCCCTCTCTCTCTCTCTCTCTCTCTCTCTCTCTCCCTCTTTCTCTTCCTCCTTCTCTCTCCCGCTGCCGCTGTCTCGCGTCAAGATATTAATTATGCAACGAGTTATTTCCGCGTGTCTTCCTGGCTATTCTGGCGCGCGCGACACGCGTCGCGCTCATCTTTCGAAACCACGGCGCCTCGCGCGCGGACGCGTTCTCGCCGAGGCGACATTCTTCTCGGCGGGATAATCAAACGCGCGTGTTTGCCTGAGCGAACGACACGCGGCCTTCTATACCCGGCGGCACTCCTCGTCGCGCGGCTCGCGTCGCCGCGCCGTTTGCGTGCTCCGAACCGCCGCGCCGGTGCTCGCGTACTATCACGATAACGACGCGGCGGATCCTTATCTATCGGGCGCTGCGCTCTTGCCGTGGTGGAGTGTGTCGTTGTCTCCTCTCGTTCCTCTCTCCTTTGCCACGCGCTCGGCTGCAGCGCTCGGGCAACCTGCGCGATCGAGAGTTTCCCGAGCACCGCTGTTCAGAGCGGAAATTAAAAGCCTCCTCGAGCGAGGAAGACGGAGAGAGTCGAATTAGTCGACTTCATTTACGTCACGCGGCGAGGTATCTGTTCTCAAATAATGGGGACAGCCAACGAATCAGCGAGCGTCACGGGGAAACGGGTTTTCCTCTCGTCAGCCGACGCGTCTTCAACGCCGAGGCGCCGTCGTTTCCCTCACTTGGCCCCCGTCGCGCCGAGGGAAACCGATCGATTCAGTTCCGGGTCGCCGAGGTATTTCTATGATCCAGTATTTACGCGACGCTAAAGGCCCAATTAGAATCGACGCGCGACCGGACGCGGAAAGCGCGTCTTTAGAAAGTCAAACGGCAATATCCGCCCGTGGGATCTGCATTCCGAGGCTATCGGCTTCTTCGATCGGCGCTTAACATTTGCTTCGCGCCGGCTTGAAACGGGTTAATTGTCGCACGAATCCCCGCGGCCGGCGTGATCCGAATCGGTGATTTCGCACCAACGTCGGGAGGAGAGGGAGGAGCGAAGCATGACGCGTGAGAGAGTTTCTCCGCGAGAGTTAGTAAATAATGGAACGCGCTCCCAGGTTCGGAGACTCTGAAAAATGCTGTCTGAAAGACGCTTAACACACTTTGCGCGACCGATCCTAATCGCTGGAGACTGCCCATCGCGCCATCGCCGATCCGTGCGCTTCCGTATTTAGTGGACCGTCGCGGCGCGGCGATACGACGTGTCGATGGCGTATGATTAACGATCTGGTTGTGTCATCCGTCCGTTTCTTTGGACGCGCCGCATCCGCGTGTGCCGCCGCGACATTTCGCCGTTATCAGCCGACCGATTGGGAAATGGCGAGTTTCGCCGAGCGTCCTTCGCGAAAGCGCGCAACACTGTTGCGGATTCTCGCGTGGAAAGTCGCGCGAGATCCAAATGTCGAAATTTGGACAGCGCGACTTAATAAGCTCTGGCGCGGGGAATCCGACGAGATTTCCTGGAAAGTCGCGGTGCTGGAACCCGAACGCACGAATGTGTCCCCAAGTATTGGGTTGTTCGGAAAGTAATTTCGGAAAGTAATTTTCTGCATGAAAGTACTTTCGGAAAATAGTTTTCTGCATGAAAATGAAAGACGATATTTTTAATGGAAAGTTAAGTTTTATTCTATCAAGTATTGATCATTTTCTTCTAACATCTTTTGCCACCTTTGAGGAAATAACATGATTCCACGCTCGTGGAACTCCCGGTCCTTATTGGCAGAAAACTAAATTAACCCTTTGAGGCATAGTGGTAAGTATTCTTACCACCTATTTATTCTCACATTTTCATGAAATATTTGAGGGATTCTTGTCGGGTTTTTTTACATTTTTCAGCTTCTTATATGATTTGGGAACATACGTGAAAAGTTGAAATGTGTTTTGAATAAGTTGTCCATTTATCATAAATAAATAAAGTGTGAAAAATACACATTTTTACAGAAAAAATCATTTTCCACGAACTATGAGTGAACTTTTTGTTCGAAATCAAGATTTGGGGTCTTTTTGGGTCGCTGATTACGAATCTGACGTCCAAATTCCAAAATTAATTTTCCAAGATGGCGGATTCAAGATGGTGGATCATAGAATTTTTATTAAATTAGCTAAAATTGTACTCTGGTTAGCTTTTGAGCTCGCTGATTACGAATCTGAGGTCCAAATTCTAAAATTTATTTTCCAAGATGGCGGATTATAAAATTTTTATATGATTAGGTCAAATTGTACTTTGATTGGCTTTCAAAGTCGCTGATTACGAATCCGAGATTCAAAACTCATTGTCACCGAAATTATCGCGATTTTTCATATTTGTGGCCGCCATCTTGAATTTTAAAAATCTGATAACGGATTCATAATCAGCGGCTCCAAAAACCCCACAATATCCATTGTCACCGAAATTATCGCGATTTTTCATTTTTGCGCCCGCCATCTTGGATCCGCCATATTGAATTTCAAAAATCTGATAACGGATTCGCAATCAGCGACTCCAAAAACTGCCGTATATAAATTTTCATGTGATTCGGATTTTCTGAAATATACGTGCCTCAAAGGGTTAAATGGTTTTTGACATCTTCATTTGAATCGAAATTTTTACCATCCAAAGAATTTTGCAATGACCGAAAAAAGTGATAATCGGATGGTGTCAGATCAGTTGAATATAGTGAATACGGTAGCAAATTCTATCCAAGTGCTAACAGCTTTTGATGAGTCATTAAATTTGTGTGAGGTTCAGCGTTGTCATGATGAAACACAACACCTTTTCTGTTTGCCAATTCTGATCTCTTCTGCTTGATGGAATCATTCAATTTGTCCAATTGATGACAATGCACATTCGAATCAATCGTTTGGTTGTTTAGTAGCAGCTCAAAAAAACTATTCCTTTCCAATTCCACTAAACAGAGAGCATTACCTTCTTTTGATGAATATCAGCTTTCGATGTGTTTTGAGCTAGTTCATCACATCTGCTCCATGATTCTTTGCGTTTAATATTGTTGTACACAATCCATTTTTCATCTCCAGTTACGAGTCGCTTCAGAAATAAATCGTTTTCCTCACGTTTCAACAGCAAATCGCAGATGGTAATGTGACGAATCAAACCTCTTTCTTTGAGAACGTGGAACCCAAATATCTAGCTTTGAAACAAAACCAAGTTGTTTCAAATGCTCATGCACAGTCGAATTCGATAAATTCAATCTCTCAGCAATTTCTCGCGTTGTTAAATGATGATTTGCGTGCACCAATATCTCTTCAATATTTGGTCTTCATCAGCTTCAACTGGCCTCCCAGAACGTGGTGCATCTTTGAGGTCGAAATTCCCAGAACGAAATTTCGAAAACCAATTCTGGCACTGGCGTTCAGTCAACACATCCTCTCCATATACGGCACACAATTCTTTTTGCTTACGCTGCATTTTTGGCTTTATGGTAATAAAAAAACAAAATGTGACGAAAATGCTCACGTTGGTTTTCCATTTTTGGTGCAACAGCAAACAAAAAACAACTTGACAGATTCCAAAATAACTTTTTTCCAAATGAAGCTTGAAATGTGCGTTGTAAAAATGTAAAATGATTTTCTGCTCTAGAATGAGGTTAACTGCTTAAAAAGGCAATTAATCCTATCTATACCATCCATTTGAAAAAACCGAAATTACTTTTCGAACAACCAAATACAATTCTGCCGTAATGCAATTTGTCCGAAGTACAAATTTTTTTTCTACGAGTACACGTTTGCCTCGAGGAACGGCTAGTGTCTCGAGAACGGTATAGACACAGATGGTACTAATAGGTGGACATACATCGTGTCGCGAGAAAGGAAAAGCCCGAAATCCAGAACACGGTGCGACTTTCCAGAAGGCCTCAAGGACAACACCCGCGAGATGCAATTTCGCCCAGGAAGCACATCTTTTCCCGCGACGATGCACGACCGCCTATAGGGCAGTCACGCACGACGGATGTCGTTGATGAGATCAAATGGGGAGCGATGAGAGCGAGAGAATGGCTGGATGACGCGAGTGCATCCGCGTGTGACTCGCGAGTGTGCGAAACGCACCGAAGAAGGACACACACACACACACACACAGGTCGTTGGTGAAAGAAGGAGAGGAGACGCGCGGGTCAGCCGCGGGTCGCACGCGGCTTTGCAGTGTATTATGGCGGCTTCTGGGCTGGCCTGGCGATACGTGTGTGAAGTTGGTCTCGCACTTTTCGAATTTTGTATTTTTTCGAATTGTGCTGCATTGTACTACATCTGTACTGTCGTATTGTGCCGTAACTCTGTAACTCAAAGCGTATTCAAGAAAATTAAGAAAAACTAAATTTTTGGTAGCCCCGCACTTTTTGAATTGAGTTTTTCTTTATTATGCCGTATTGTGCTATATTTGTGCTGATTTGTGTCGCAAACGCGAGACCGATAACTTCAATAATATTTGAGAAAAAAATAAAAACGAAAATTTGCCAGCTCCTCACTTTTGTCCAATATTTTTCTTCTCAAATGTTATTGAAGTTATCGGTCTCGCGTTTGCAGTACTAATCAGCACAAACATTGCACAATATAGCACAATAAAGAAAAGTTATTTGTTAATTTGTATTTTAACTTTAACATTTTTTTTTGTACTGAACGAAAGGAGATATCCAGTTTTATCAAATGGCACAACGCGGCACAAATTAGTAGGAATTCACAAACAAAAATTGGGTTCATTCGGATAAAAGTGGAGGGCTGGCAAATGTTCGTTTTCATTCTTTTTCTCAAATGTTATTGAAGTTATCGATCTCGCGTTTACAGCACAAACATGGCACAATACGGCACAATAAAGAAAAACTCAAAATTCGGAAAGTGCGGGGCTATCAAAAATTTCGTTTTTCTTAATTTTCTTGAGTACGCTTTGAGTTACAGAGTTGAGTACGCTTTGAGTTACAGAGTTG